GAAGAAACAAAACAAACAAACAAACAAAAAAAAACAGAAAAAAACCCAACCTTTTAGCTGTAAGATGGTTTTCTTTTTCTTTTAACTCTTCCCAGCTGAGTTTAAAAGAGGTTTTATTGGCCAGAGTGGACACATAGATGACTGTAAACACACAAAGGAGCATGGACTTTAGGATTGGAAAACATAAAAATCAATGAAACACACACACACACACACACACACACCTGCTGCTGCTCCTTTCCTACTCTGGTGTCAGTTGTTGGTTTCAGGTAACATTCCAACACTTATGGAGTTCTCCATCTTATCCAGCCAGATGAGGATATGGACATAAGTTTAATCTCCGAGCACTCAGTACAACGATAAGTCCAGTTAGCCTTGTTTGGTTTTTCTACCCAAGGGCCCAACACACACATGGCCCACTCACACAGGTGTTTTCACTTAGGCTCATCCACACTAATACACACAGCGACCACACTACTCTGGTGTTTTTGGAACACCTAAAAACAGAGACCTTTGAAAATGCTGCTGACTCTGTTTTAGTTTGAAAACTCTGTTTGTTGCGTTTTAGTCTTGAGACTTTTGGAAACAATTTCGCAGACACCTGTGTTCGCTTCCCAATTGGGTCTTATCAGTCACAACATGTCAAGCCAAAACATTATCACTATAGGCCTAAATACCTTCTGTGATTTTATTCTCATCTTCATCCTGGGTGGGTAATGCTACTTTTTTCTCTTTGCCATGGCTTCCTCTAACAATGGATAGTGCTCCTGGTAATGCTCTAATATGTGACTGTGTTTGCTTTGTAATGTAACTGGTCTGTTTTCTGCCACCTTGACTGCCTTATACTCATGTGTTAGAACAGTTACACCTCGTCGTTGATCCAAGCAAAGAATTCTCTGCTCTGACTTTTCACCATCTTCCTGGTATTTTTATAACTAAGCAACCAACCACAGAGCAGAGCAGAGCAGAGCAGACAATCTGCTTCCTGTTTACAGCGGTAAACAAAATGGTCATGTGATTTGCGTTTTTAGGTGTTAATGTGGATGGAGATTATTTCTGAAATGGTGCTAAAACACCGTTTTTGAAAGAAAACATATTAGTGTGGATGTTACTTATTTGAACCAATGAAATGAAGCAAATTAGTCAGCTTTTTTTTCCAACATTTACTTACATCTGATGGCTTCAGTTGTCTTGTTTGACTGATGGCACGAGGCCTGGCCCAAACACAGGTCAAGTCTATATATTTGGGTCTTGTTTCCTCCCTTTACATAGCCCTGTCCACCCTTCGCCCTCCCTCGATGCTCCCTCTCCCTCTCCTCTCCCTCCTTCCCGGCAGCATGGAATGAATTTGCCCGGTCATGTAGAGCCGTGTCAGAGCGAGGCGAAGCTGGCAATTCATCACCCTGCACTGCCTGCCTGTCACTGCTCCTCCATGCTTTTTTCTTGTGTGTGTGTGTGTGTGTGTGTGTGTGTGAGAGAGACGGCTGTTCACCTGCTGTCAGAGCTCCTCACCACCACCATGTGCACCTCTGTCCCCTCAGGACCTCCAGTAAAGACTGAGAGAGGCCCTTCGCTCTCCTCCTTTGCTCTGACAGCTCCCTGCGGATGCCTGGATGGATGGAAGGAATCGAGATGGGGAAGTAGGGTGAGGTGGAGAGGGGGGAGAAGGACCCAATTATCCCAGAATCAGGCGGTGTGACCCATGACCTCAGCAGTCCATTGGCGGGAGAGTGAGGTGCTTTAGCAAGAAGCTGCACTAGCTGCGAGGAAAGCTAATGGAGCTCCATTTTACCGTAATTTCTTCCTCGAAGCACGGCGGCCCTGCGGCGATGCACAGATTAGCCATTACCCCCTGTAAATGCACCGCAAGCCCCCGCTGAAGCTGTCTCTCAAGACCATTAAGACGCCTGAAATCTCCTGCAGAGACAGATACAGACAGCGGACACACATCCAGCAGCCGATCGGCCCATTTGAAGCCCCATTAGGGAGCTTGATGCTGCAAAACCACAGCTTAACTGACTGGATGAAGTCACTTTATTGATAACACGCAGAACTGCAGGGTAAATGAGTTTACAGATAATTTACTGCCACTTTTCTGCTCACACTCTCTGGACAGACACCAGAACATGATGAGAACAAATGACTGAGAATCAAATGCATGGCATGAACCAGGAGAGGGGGGGGGACAATTTAACATCACATTTATTAGATGAAAGAACAGAAGAGAGCAGTTTAAGAGGAAAATGCAACTGTTCCCTCCTGAGAACAAAGAGGTGTAAAACACTGTTAAAAAAAACTTTTCTTTAAGGCTTTCTTTAAGGCTTATTTCCTCAAAGTTTTATATGAACATATTTTCTGTTTTACCATGATGATATCTTGAGATTACCACCTCCACCACTGGAGGAATATTTGTAAGTTTCCTTTGTGATTGCTTGAGGAACAAAATATATTCAACATATTTGCAGGTCCTCAAGAAAGCACACAATTTATTTTTACTTTGTTTACACAAAAACTACACACAGTACACTTTAAATTCATACTGCCGCACTGTAATAACTCACATAGCATCACTTCATTTGGTACTTGCAGCACACATTCCACAAAGTCAGGATATGTGGTGATAAAACTGCTGCTTTTCTGGAGCGTTGTCACTGGGAAATATGACTCTTTGTTGATGCAGGTTTCCCTGGCAATTTGATATTGGTGCACAGCTTCCTTTCATACAGCCCCAAATTGAACCGTGAATGTCTTTGTAATGCTTCCATGGCACGTCAGCCATGAAAAGTTTACTCACTTCAAATCTCAGATGACTTAGGACAACGTTCCTGAATCAACAGACAACAATAGAGCTCACCTCAGTTTCCATTACTTGTAGAAAGTTTGACATGTGATTGATGAGAGATAAGCAAACATACAGTACAAGCCAAAAGTTTGGACACACCTTCTCATTCAATGTGTTTTCTTTATTTTCATGACTATTTACATTGTAGATTCTCATTGAAGGCATCAAAACTATGAATGAACACATGTGGAGTTATGTACTTAACAAAAAAAGGTGAAATAACTGAAAACATGTTTTATATTCTAGTTTCTTCAAAATAGCCACCCTTTGCTCTGATTACTGCTTTGCACACTCTTGGCATTCTCTCGATGAGCTTCAAGAGGTAGTCACCTGAAATGGTTTTCCAACAGTCTTGAAGGAGTTCCCAGAGGTGTTTAGCACTTGTTGGCCCCTTTGCCTTCACTCTGCGGTCCAGCTCACCCCAAACCATCTCGATTGGGTTCAGGTCCGGTGACTGTGGAGGCCAGGTCATCTGCCGCAGCACTCTATCACTCTCCTTCTTGGTCAAATAGCCCTTACACAGCCTGGAGGTGTGTTTGGGGTCATTGTCCTGTTGAAAAATAAATGATGGTCCAACTAAACGCAAACCGGATGGGATGGCATGTCGCTGCAGGATGCTGTGGTAGCCATGCTGGTTCAGTGTGCCTTCAATTTTGAATAAATCCCCAACAGTGTCACCAGCAAAACACCCCCACACCATCACACCTCCTCCTCCATGCTTCACAGTGGGAACCAGGCATGTGGAATCCATCCGTTCACCTTTTCTGCGTCTCACAAAGACACGGCGGTTGGAACCATAGATCTCAAATTTGGACTCATCAGACCAAAGCACAGATTTCCACTGGTCTAATGTCCATTCCTTGTGTTTCTTGGCCCAAACAAATCTCTTCTGCTTGTTGCCTCTCCTTAGCAGTGGTTTCCTAGCAGCTATTTGACCATGAAGGCCTGATTGGCGCAGTCTCCTCTTAACAGTTGTTCTAGAGATGGGTCTGCTGCTAGAACTCTGTGTGGCATTCATCTGGTCTCTGATCTGAGCTGCTGTTAACTTGCCATTTCTGAGGCTGGTGACTCGGATGAACTTATCCTCAGAAGCAGAGGTGACTCTTGGTCTTCCTTTCCTGGGTCTGTCCTCATGTGTGCCAGTTTCGTTGTAGCGCTTGATGGTTTTTGCGACTCCACTTGGGGACACATTTAAAGTTGTTGCAATTTTCCGGACTGACTGACCTTCATTCCTTAAAGTAATGATTGCCACTCGTTTTTCTTTAGTTAGCTGATTGGTTCTTGCCATAATATGAATTTTAACAGTTGTCCAATAGGGCTGTCGGCTGTGTATTAACCTGACTTCTGCACAACACAACTGATGGTCCCAACCCCATTGATAAAGCAAGAAATTCCACTAATTAACCCTGATAAGCACACCTGTGAAGTGGAAACCATTTCAGGTGACTACCTCTTGAAGCTCATGGAGAGAATGCCAAGAGTGTGCAAAGCAGTAATCAGAGCAAAGGATGGCTATTTTGAAGAAACTAGAATATAAAACATGTTTTCAGTTATTTCACCTTTTTTTGTTAAGTACATAACTCCACATGTGTTCATTCATAGTTTTGATGCCTTCAGTGAGAATCTACAATGTAAATAGTCATGAAAATAAAGAAAACGCATTGAATGAGAAGGTGTGTCCAAACTTTTGGCCTGTACTGTATATGCAGATGTAACTCAGAAATTACTACAAATTACTACAAAATTTAAAATTGTTTTTCTTTTCCTGTCTGTTTTTTTTTTTTTTTTTTTGTATGTGTCCATGTTCTGGATCTCAACAAATGTCACTAACATATAGAGTTAATTTTACTTACTACTTACTTACTACTATACTTTTAACAGTAAAACAGTAAAAAAATAAAGCCTGAGTCACAGATAAAGCTGACTTGATTAGACAGGGATGTTTTTGCAGTATAGCAGCAGCAGCCTGAGGCATGGTTTAAACCTGTGGCCACTTATCATTTATTGTGTCTGACTTTATGTAAGCTCAGTGGCAGAAATCTCTCTCCAGAAAATGCTGCCTTAATGTAAAAAGCATGATGTGCCTCATAAAAGGTGAAGATAAAGCGGGGGGGAGGGGGTACCATAAAATACAATCAAGACACTGACAAAAACAACATGTACATAAAAAAACTTTATTATTGTTGTAAGGTAAGATTGACAACAACATGCTTTTACCACAATAAAAAATAAAAAGATATTGCACTGGTTTTACTCTAGCAATGTTTTTTCTCTCTCTCGTAATGTCTTTCTCAAGCTTTTACGGTGCACAGCGGAACCTTCCTCTTCATCACTCTTTATAGACAAACACAAAACACACAGCTGGGAAATACTGCCCTTAACTGCAAGAGTCCACAAAAGTTGATTTTTGCTGCTCAAATGAGCAGCGACGACCTCTCAGACACAGAAACGACCGACGGACTGCACATTGAAACATCACTGAATCTCATGTAACGGTGGTTCAGAACGTACGTGTGTGTGTGTGTGTGTGTGTGTTAGTGGTAATAAGGCTTCACCTCGTACCTTGTCATGCCCAAAGTCATGTATTTGAATTATCTATGTGCCTCACAGACAGAGCTGGTTACTCTACACTGCTCAGAGTCAGAGGAGTACGGAAGCTCCTTTGTGACAAAAACATAACTGATGCTTCCATCAATCTGCAAGTCAAGACTTGATATCTGGCAGCAGGCAGGGACACAATCATCTGCACAAGTTTTACATGCTCAAAACACTGTTTTGGTCAATACACAAGTTTTTTTTTACTGACAAAACAGCAGCTTGATAACAGAAATTATGGATTTAATATGTGTAAGAGAATTCAAGGATTTCAGTTTACAAATCTGCTCAGAGTGTACTGCAGCTGTTTTGGCTAATCTTGAGCTTGCGAAACATGACAGGTTTAGCCAGCAGGTTTTAACAGGACTTGTCATATGTACAAAAGTTATTCAATGTCAAAATTGCCACGTGGGAACAAAAGAAGATAAATATAATAAATCAAAACAAACGATCTGTCTGCACACTTTCCTGCAACTGTATAGTAAACTCTGAGCTCTTGATAGGTTGAAATGTGTCCCGGCATTGAGTATTATCAACTCAAGGAAACTGGAATCAAATGATCAAGTGAGGTCTGTAATCTTGAGCATTCACTTTTTGATCAGATGGTTTCTAATTTAAATCAAATATTTCGTCAGTTTCAAATTGCGGAGTATAGAGACACCTGTGTTTGTACGACATGTAACATTTCAGAACTTTAGCATCTGTTGAACATTGAAAAATGTTTACATCTCTCAAAAATGTATCAGAATTTGCCATTTAGTATCTGTACCAGCATGCAGGTATTGTTTTGGCGCGAACATTACCCAAGCTAGCTGAAAATTTTAACACAATTCCACACACATGCTCTCAAATCCTGACTTTCAGACTGATTACAGTCTTAGTTTGACTTCTCAGCTGGTAAATAAACTTCCGTCGTGGTGCGTCTGGTTTGTGGGCCTCTGCCACAGAGCAGCAGAGGTGCATGATGGGTAAAAAGCATGCCGGAGGTTGATCAGTGCCAACAGTGTAACTGCTGAACCGACCGCCAACAGTACTGGGATGGGACAGAGGAGCTTGAGGAGACCGGTAGTATTTGTGTTGACCAACGTGTGTGTGTGTGGTCAACAGGCTCAGGGTTTGAGATTAATGACTCCACCAGGGAACCTGACACTTGCTTCACTCTCCAGCAGATGGCTGGACCATCATCTTTACACTCAGGAGAAAGTGTGTGTCTGTGTGTGTGTGTGTGCATACTGGTATGTATGTGTGTCTTTATAATGTCAGTTGAGACTGTGAAACTGGCAGCGCCACATTAGATGGCACAGGTATTGATCTGTGTGTGTGTGTGCATGTGTGTGTGGCAGCTGTCCATGTAGCACTAATAGGACTACCAGCTGAGAGCAGATGGACTGGAGTGTGCGTGATTACACACAAACACACTCAGGTTCCAATTACATGCAGAAAATCACAACTGCAGCAGAAGTCGACAGCGGTGCTTCATCAGAATGTAAAACAGAAACTGTGAAGAGATTAAAGCACCGATCAGAACTCCTGCTGATGAGGAGGATTCTTACCTTGAGCAACCAAACCAAAACCCAAAAATTTCAGGATTTAATGAACCTGCTTGTAATCAATTAGTCAGGATTTGAGAGCACACAGGGACAAATCATTCAGCAACACACAAGTTTCACGTAGAACTCAACAGGATTTTTTTGTCAATTTTTGAGGCACCGATGCAGAAATTTGATCAATTTATATACTGACATAAATCGGCCAATACTTGTTTCATTTTTATAAGGATTCCTTAAAACCTATGTACAGGGGACACAGTTTCTGAATTACCTTGAACATATCTTTGGCATTTCTGTACTTACATTTGTTGTAACTTATCGCCTTATCTCTATAAACAGACGTCTGCGTATGTATGCAGAATCTGTAGGCAAAAGATTTTGGTATCGGAGGCGTTCTGATTTCTGTTTTTAGTCCAAGTACTATTAACCAATCAAAACCAATTTGAGCGGGCTTTGCTACTAGCAGGTCAACAGTCCGTGTGAAGAGGTGGAACACTGACAGAATCGCAATCTTGGAACCTACTGGCTATCGTCTGACAAAGATGAACTTTTTATTCTCTTTTTTTTTTTTAAATTGATCTGTCTAGATATGAGCCGAAACATTATGTGACCCTGTTTCAAGTTGCTAATCAAACTGTAAAAATGGATGGAAGAGGAAGTGTTAGCCCCGATATCAGCTGGCTACACCAGAACCCATCAAATATTGGTCATTGCCCCCAGAGGCTGTATCACGTTGAGACTGATAGTCGATGGGTTCAAGATTGCTGATTGCCCAGTATATGCAGTGATACTGATGTATCTGTGATGAGCTCAAATTCAGCTGATAATATTCGCACTGCTCTGGATTAAGGTACAGAATCATGATTTTGTGTGCCACCAGTTGGGAATTCTGCTCACAGATTTTAAGATCTTAAGCACAATGAGCTTACTGATGTTACTAAGGGGGGAAAGCTTCAGGTTTCATAGCATTCATCGAATCAGAATCGACAACAGACCCAAGATTTGTAAGCTTTAGATGCAGGTAATTCATTGCACTGGAACCAGGGTCAAACCAAAACTGCCCATCAAAGTCCAGCCTGACTTGATGTTCACTCAGACCAAACTTGTCTTTTAGGCATGAAACTTTACAGATGCTCACAATTCTGTCTTTGTTCACTCAAGAACTTCTTTAGTGCTTAGGAATCTGTCCGTGCTCGCTCTCAAATCTGACTCGCACACTGATTTCTGCTCTGTCATCTCAGTTTTCTGATGATACCATGCTATGAGGCAAGAAGTTTGTGTTGTGTGTATGAATAACATCCAATGTGGTCGCATTATAAATAAAACTATTCAAGTCTGACGCCAGCAAAGACAGAAGCATTTTTAAACTCATTAGTCATCAACTTCCAGACCGTCTGATTGACCAAAGCATACTGCAGGTAAATCCTGAGAGGTCACAAGCTCAAACAATGGGAAGCTGCTTCCTCCCCACAAGTCTCAACACCTCTGATGTGTTCCACAGAAACACCTGGTAACACACTTCTGCAGTGCCAGGAGACGACCAGCGCAACGCAAACAAGAGCAGAGATGATTTTAACATGTGTTGCGCTGAATCTTCCTCCTTTCTACACGTCCTCAATCACAGGTGACCTCTTCATCACACAGCTAAATACTAACACACCACATTATGATCAGGAGTCACCTAAACACGTTGGTAATTATCCTAGCCTGTCAGAGGAGGTTTGATTGCTACAGGCAACAAGTTCCATTGACAAAAAAAACCCAAAACCAACAACAAAAAAACACAAAGATACAAAACAAGAACATGTAAACATAATACAGAGATTGCCACAGTCAGTGTTGATATCAGTTTAACAGTGTCCTTTAAACTGAGCTTGAAAACTCTTAATTAAACTGTAACCAGTGAGTTTTGCTTTCTCTCCAACAGTGACACAAGCCCCATAAAGACACAAAACACTGAAGGAGGTTTAGTTCATCTTAAACTTGAGAGAGGAACATCCCACTTCTCAGAAAACGTTCAAATGCACAACTGGAGTGGACCCACACCAGGTTTGGGTTGGATGTGCATTCAATGAAGGGTGATTTTCTTAAAAATATCAAAGAAACCAAAACACAAACAATCTGTTTCTTGCTTTCAAATGTACAGTAGGAATCAGGGAAAAGATCAGGACAACACTGAAAAAATTAAAGGTGGTATATCAAAAAAAAACAAACAATCAAATAAACAAAACACACCATGATGGATTGATTTTAACAGGCTAACTGCATTTTTGTGTTTGCCTTCTGAAGCAACAGCAGAGCGGAGCTCCAACCCAGCACAGCAGTCAGTGGTCAAACATCTCGACCAGCTTCCTTTTAGTGATTTTTTTACATTTGACAAAATGAGCTCAAAGGTTTGTGCAAAGCCTGACGCCTGACACAGAAGACATAGAGAGCTCAGCCACATACACAGGTAGCAGGGTGTCCCGAACAAAGTTAATCCTAAAACGCATACGCATAAACACACACTCAGGGTATAAAACAGTTGCACAACAGAACTTTAAATATTCTTATGTATATATATGTACACAAATAACCATGCACAAATTAACAAACGCTCGCTCCCTCACACACACACGTACAAAAGTAAAGTCTGATGACTTCACTTCATTAGAGGCAAAAAACACAGCAAGTTGGTCCAGATACCAAATAAAACTACTGCAGCCTTCAGAGGCTGCTGGGCCTAGAAATAAAAAGGTGGTGGTCCGACAGAAGAGTGGTTCTAAATAAAAGAGTCTGACCATGATGGTGAAGCTGTTTCTGCTTTTGGAAGTGTGTGCAGGTGACCAATACAAGACTTGTAAAAGATGTCTGAATCTGACTTAAAACACATCCAGAAACATAATAACCATGAAACTGTGCAAATGCCAATATGCTAGGGTTGGGTTTTGATAAGATTTTATTGGGTCTGTATCCAGTACTGAATTGGCTTTTTGATTGTGAAGTTTTTCAAATCCCTTATTGAATGCATTTATGTTTAGCTTTCAGCATTTGTAGGAAACTACAGTAATGTGCCATGAGCACAACAGTTGCAAGCAAAAAAATAAAAAATAAAAAATAAAAGTATGAATTAAAACACTAAAGAGAGTTTTGTCAATGTCAGGGCTCAGCAAATCTGGGTATCTTCCAATCTAAAAATGGATTTAATAATTGAAATCAAACCCTTTATCACCTTAGCTACCGGCCACATGTTGGAGTCAAAAGTCAAATTTTCCCACTTTCTAGGCCATCACTGCTTTCCAAATGTTTAAAGATCAGCCTGGAAAGAACTGGAACTTGAAACAGATCTGAGAACATTTGCTCAGATTCTGACAGCAGATTAACTTTTAACAATATATACTAACAGATATTCATTCTCAATAATAAGCTACAATAAGATCTGTGCTAGCTAGTAGAAACAAATGCCTAGGGTTGTGGAAAATGGCAAGTAAATGCACAAGGTTCAGTACGAGATTGAAACTGTGGGTTGAGATCTGTGCCTGAGTGCAGTCTTGGTAAATCCGCAGAAACACTATTCTAATCCACCACTGACATTCCCAGGAATACCCTCAAAACACTGAACCACGTCTTCAATCTGTGCTCAGGGAATACATCTCGCCTTCTGTATGCCTGCAGTGTCGGATCACCAGAGACTACAGCAAGAGGAAGATTTAATTTGGCCTAGTTAGCTGGGTGCTGAGTTTACATTGACGGTTCAGATTTAGCCCTATTATAAACACTGTTATGCATTTATACTGATTGCTAAACATATGCTGTACTTTACTGCTGAGATACAATCTTCTTGGTGGGTGGGTTAACATTGTCGGGAAAGGAGGGACGGGAGGAATCCCGTCCTAATCTGTTTGAAGAACATGCTTGTAGGATCTGCCAAACATCAAGGTAAAAAGTAATGAGGCAGCACAGGAACATTGTGAGCAAGACAGGTGTGTGTCTGCATGTTAAATTGTATAAGCATGGACCACTGAGCTCTTTATTTCTAGCCCCGTACATGTTTGCAAAAAAGAGAAGAAAAAAACCCCCCACCAATTCCTCGTGGCATTTACTCTAAAAGCAGAAACCAAAGAGTCAGGACACCAAAATAACTCACGTGAACATTAAGAGTACAGAACACCTGGAATGGAACTAGGACTACCACATCTGTCTCTGCTTCTGATAGCTCTTTGTCTCTCTCTGCACCCTTCTTTTGCTTTGAAAGTCAAACTCTCTGATTAGTGCGAAGTTACTAATATGTTTTCTTCCAAACATGCAGTTTGTGTGGGTTCTAAAACCTCAAGCCAGCACTGAGTGGTGTGATCTGTACATTTTGTTCTTTGCTTTTTTTCTGCTACGTCTTCTTGCTGGTTGCTTTGTCTTGTTGTGAGGAGGCGGATGCAGCGTTGGCAGTTGTAGTCTGGGGTTCGGACCTCTTGCGCTGTGGCTCAGATGCTGCAGAGGAGCTGGGGGGTGTGGTGAGGGCAGGCTGAGTGGCAGCTGCAACCAGCCGCTGTGCAGATGCAGACATAGCAGCGTTCTCCCTGCTTGCAGACCCTGATGTGGGCCTCTCTGGGACATCCTTGCAGGACGATGGCAGCAGGGTTGCAAAGTCTTTCTGGACTGAGGATTTGGGCGCCCTCTGGAAGGTGGTTGGAGAGGCAACTTGATCAGTTTTCGGTCTGGTTTGGGACTCAGACAAAAGAGGTGACTGAGGAGTTGGGAGCTGTTTCGAGGAAAATGAAAGGGGACCACTTGGTGGGACTTCTGTGGTGCCACATCTGGATGGTTTCTGGTCTTTCTGGCTCTTATCTGTAGCGGTGCTAAGTTTGACAGGACCCAGAACACTCTTAGCTACTGTTGCAAGCTGGGACACAACTTTGTCCACAGCACTCTCAGGGGCAGGAACTGGGGAGCTGGAACTGGAGCTGGAGCCAGAAGTGGACGATGATGTTGCACTCAGACTTGCAGCAGCAGCACATAGTCTCCGGTTGTCAGCTTCCTTCTTCTCCTTGGGGATGCCAGGAGAGGAGCAGGAGGTGCGAGGTGTCTCTTGGCTGTCAGTGGTACGGCAGTCTGTAGTACTGGTGGTAGTTCTGGAGTCTGTGGTACTAGTGGTGGTTCTGCAGTCGGTAGTACTGGTAGTGATTGTGGTAGAGGGGACTGTGGTTCGAGGCCTGTCCAGGGTTTGGTCCTCTGCCCTGGATTCTGATGGTGCAGTCTTCCCCCTGAGACTCTTTGAGTCTTGTGGAGGAGTTGGCTTGAGGAAAGTGTCTTTGCTGACTGAGATGAATGCACTGCCTGGGGTGGAGAAGGGAAGGGGGCCCTGAGTGGATTTTGTCATACTGCTCGGCTCCAGGACCTTCCTCTCTTGTTTTACGCTGTCTTCAGTAGATGAAGCCAAACTTGTGTCTTTTACTCCCATAGAGGAGGTGCTCTGAGTGGGCTTCATCTCTGTTACAGGGGGGAGGCTGTGTGAGGGGGTGGTCCTGCCTACCTGCGAGGATCCTGTGTGGGTGAATGTGGCATGAGGGGTGCAGGGGGAGAGGTAGAGGGAGGGCAGTGTGCCTCCGGGGCCCGTTCTCACAGTGGTGGGCCTCAGCAGGGGAGGTGGGGTGAAGGTCGCCCCCCTGCGTCCGTCCTGGCTGTCCTCTGAGCCCTCATCTGTCTCGTCCTCTGATGAATCGACCTCATGGATGGCATCTTGCTTCTGTAGTGATTCTCTCCGCTCGGCTCTGTCCTGCCGGATGGCAGATAGTTTGTCCTTCAGCTTGCTCTTCCCTGGGGCCAGTCCAAGCGAGCCAGACACCGAACTGAGGGCGGTGTCCCCTTCCTGACGCCCTAACTTCCTGGATGAGGAGGAGTGTTTCTGCAGGCTGCCCTTCTCCACGCCGCGTCCTGCTGAGGACAGCAGACCCTCGCTGGCTGACTCCTGAAGGGAGTAAGAAATAAAACAAAATATATTTGAAAGCCTTCATACTGATATAGAAATCCTACAATTTGCACAGTAAAAACTACAGGGGGTAACTTTCATAAAAATGACTTTTTATTATATTTGCTGAAACTACCCCTCTGGCTCTGATTGGTTGTTTTTGTTCAGGTGCAGTGGATTCTTGCAAAAGCCATTAGGAACACTAGAAGAAGCCAGGGGAGCCTGATTTTTTTCACAGATTATCCGTCTCATGTACTACTTATACAACATAGTGTCAGTTTCTGCAAATATGACAAAAATGTATTTTCTATAAACGTACCTATTTTAGTTTTAAGGGAGCAGCTACGGACAGAAAAGGTGGCTTTCACACTGAGATTTGCTCTCTGGCAAAATAACAAATGAGTGTGTAGTTATAGATTTCTCTGTTGTGGGACATGAATAAGTGCACATGGTAATCTAAGGTAATTTAGAACAACAGCATTAATGGTAAGCTTAAATGTGATTCTTATTTTAGTTTGAACAAACAAATCAAACTCAAACATCATTTTTGTCTTAGATATGTCATGTTTTATAACATCTTAATTTCTGAAATTTGAGAACCACTGCTTTAACATCATTTAAGATGATCTCTAACTGCTAATTTCTTTTTATAATAATAATAATAATGATAATAATAATAATAATAATAATAATGATAAAAAAATACTGTCATGAAGGGACACTACCATAATCTCTTTAAAGAAATATTGTCATCATGTTGGTTGGTGTGTGATGAACTCATACCTGAAGGCTCGTTAGGCTCGGTTCTCTCTGCAGAATCTCCTTCTTAAACTCCGAATGTGAGATGTCCAGACTGTGTTTCCTACTCCCTACAGTCGCTCCCACCGCCAGCTTCTTCTCCCCCGCTGTAGCCACCCCAGAGGGAGATGAGGGGGAGTTAGAGAGAGAGGAGGCCAGTTTCTCGGCTGACTGCACTCTCTTGAGGAGCGGAGACCGCGGAGGCTCGGCACTCTTGGGCCTGGATATCTGCCTCACCAGGGGAGGGGAGGAGTGGAGCTTCACAGGGAATGACTGACCCACCGCAGACTGTCCCAGAGCGTGGCTGGGCAGAGGGGAGGGGGAGCGCTGAGGTGAGCTGCTCTGAGGGGTGGGTGAAGGTGTGCGGGCCAGAGGGGAGAGGGGGATGTTGCCGGCTGACTTGCGTCGGGGTGAACGGTACTGGCGCTGGAGCTTTGGGGCGAGGCCGTGCAGAGAGCTGGGCCTGATGTGGCCAGAGCTCGCCGGGGAGTTTGGGACACTGGAGCTGGGGGAGCTGCTCTGAGATGAGTTTCCACCAACTGAGGGATTGAGAGAAAGGAAATTTGTGTCAATTTGTGTGCACAACCATGCATGAGAGAGACATGTATCGTGTGTGTGTGTGTGTGTTGTTGAATAGAGATGTGTTGGGACGTTAAATACAGAGTAAATAAATCTTATTTGTAAAGTTATTTAGTGAGTCGTTTTGTAGGATAATGTGTAATGTTCATAATGCATGGTGCAAAGTACCACTCATTTCAGGGGCATTTAAATATGACTTGGTTATTGAAAGATATGTCTTTAATGGGTTTTATAATATACAAATATATTTTGGACAATGTTTGGCCTTATTCATTGAATTGTGCTCAACTTTGACTGAAAACGTCAATGAAATTAGTCATTAGCAATATCCCTAGGTTTTATAGACAATTAACAATTAGTTGAAAACATAATAACGGTTTAATCAATATTTAGAACAATCATTAGTCGGAGGCCTTGTCTTTATGTTCACTAACCTAACCTAGACATTACACTAACCTGTACATTTTTCAGTCTTTGGTTTAGGTTTGTGTAGGTGAAGGCAAAAGATTTTTAGTAGCCTTTTTGTTTTTAATGATGTACAGCACTTTATATATATATATGTGTATATATATATATATATATATATATATATATATATATGTATATACATATAAAAATCTTTAAAAAGGAAGAATCAGTGTTTGCATGTTTTACTCCTTAAAGGAATAAATACAGAATTTCATGGTCATTCAAATGTTCAAATATCATACTGAGCTGTGAGACGACTCATCACACCCCTAACGTCCACCGAATAAATAATATCAGGATTTTATTGCTGTACAGGTGAGCATTTGTCCCTCACCTGAGTGGGCAGAGTCTGGCGTGGACCTGAAGCCCTGTGTCGGGCTCCGTGGTGACAGGTTATGTGTGGGCGAGCCTGGGCCGCTCTCCCCAGAGGACAGAGACCGGTTCAGGGAGGACAAACTGCGACTGGTGTGGAGGAGAGAAGCCTGCTTGGTGATCTTCCTGAACAGAGACGTTCTCTTCTTACTGCGAGAGAGAAAACACACAACAGCTCACACAATAATTCCCCACATTAAATAAAACACAAAGTGATGTTTGATACAACACAGGTGTGTGTCCCACCTGTCCTGTCCTTCCTTGGTCTTGGTCTTCTTGTTGCGTCTTGCCATCTTGGATTTGTGGCTTGTCTTTCGGGCAGGGCCGACCTTGATGGACGTGTTCTCAAACGGGGTGGCAGAGATGGACACTTTGGCACCACTCTGAGAGATGGCAGACAGAGGTGAGAGATTAGGGATTTAGATTTACATGTTTTGTTTTAATTTTCATTTTGTTTTTAATTTTGGAAGTTATATTCTTTTATGGCAAATGTGTTATTTGTGCTAAAGGTCCACTATTTTTAGCAGGAATGGACACTTGTATTATGTCAACATCAGATATTGTGCAATATAAACAATATTGGATTCATATTAGGATGACTTTACAGTAATCAAAAAAAAAAGGTGAGTTATTGGAATACAAAAAGTAGAATTAACAGTTTATGTTGGTACCTTCAGTATGAGCTCCACCACCTCTGTGTGAACCAGACCGTGAACTGGTTCTCCGTTGACGTGGGTGATTAGGTCCCCCTCCCTAAGCCCTGCATCATGGGCTGGACCGCCCTCTTCCACATACTGAGGGCCAGCAGAAAGAGAGATGGTCAAAGGAAAGATAGAAAGAAAGAAAGGTAGCAAGAGAATGAGGAGGATGGAACAAAGGCAGATATATTTAAGACCTATATGCTGAGGCTGTTCTCCTGTTGTTTACTGCCATCTTCTGTCAACAACAAGAATCCCAGTCCACAGCAACAGCACTGGCATTACCATACAGTGATTCTGAATCAGATATACCTCAATTATAATACACTTATCTGATATTAATACCTGTATTATAATGGCTTTTGTGACTATTCTTCTTCAACACGTTTCTATTAAATTTATTGCACCTGACATCTGAACTCCTCATTTTATACATTCAGGACAAGGTGGTTTATAAAACTCTGTCTGCTTTTTATCCCTCTGCTGTCACAAACTCTAATTTTATGAGCTTGACACCTCAAACTTTTTGAATAATCCCAGTGAACACAGGGATTTTTTTTTTCAGCATTAGTGTCTCTTTGGGACTCACCCAGACCATGTGATGTACAGTGTAGATGTCAGAGTCTCCCATGTATACTCGGATGGCCCTCAGGGTGAAGCCATACTTCTTGCCTGCTCTGTGGATCACAATGGCGGGCTTGACGTTGCTCACGGCTGGGGACAGATCCCGGCTTGGGGAAGAGTCCCGCGACGACGGATTAGATGACAGTGAGTGGGGCGACATTGGGCTGGCCAACGGAGAGGCTCCATGGTGGTCTAAGAATAGAGAGATAATAAACATCTGTCAGTACAGTACAGTTACAGTATTTGTAAGGCTGGAGTCTTTTAGGTACTTTAATATATTTTTGTTTTCTTGTCAGGCCAGGATCACACTTACTACATAATGTTTTTTGCAATAAATCAACTTTATGTTGTAAGGAATCCACATCTAAAAACCAGATCAGAGCCACTAGATTTGTGCATTTGAATTTTTCAAATAGACATTAAATGTCATCCTGGTCCTCAGCATTCAGCAGCAGTATTTCCATCCTCTCAACCTGACGCACTGACCTGCAGGGATCATCAGTGACAGAGTGGTGGCAGACGCCGACTTGATGACCTTGTTGAGTGGTCTGGAGCTCGGCGTCGCTGTGTGTTTGTCTGCATCTCCAGAGAGCAGCCGATGACGAGCCCTACGAGCAGCCAGGTCGCTGATGGCTCTCGGAGTGGATGGAGAGTCGCTGTCTGCTGCAGCTTTAGCAGCTCCACTGGCCCCGCCATTACTGCCGTTACCTCTGTGACCACGATCACACACATCCCCTGAACTACCAGCTGTAGGAGCAAAGGAAGGTGAGAGATGAGGCTCAGGTGTAAAGAAGGTTCTACGTAGGTTTTCGACTGTGCATGCATGTTAAACAGTGACTCTACAATGTGTGTTTGTACTGACGTGTGAGTGTGGCCTTGCTCAGCTGACTGGAGGAGGAGGAGCTTGGTGTAGTGGGAGACTCATCCAGCTTTAGCTCTCTCTCAACTGGGAGCTCTGGGATAGCAAGGGGCAGCTCGTCACTACGCGGGCCCCTCACTGCACTTGGACCCAACAGGCTGGGACTCTTACGACTTCCAGCTGCACCTGAGAGAACAACAATAAAGAGGCTAGGTTTGTGTTTCATCTTTTCTTTTTCAACAGAAAAATCTAAGAATATATTGTTTGCTACTTCAGGGGGTTCCCTACCTTTCTACAGCTACATGTCTAAATTTTGGGAATTTAAGATATCAGTATGGATGGACATTACCTACTTCCAAAGTGCATGGGGAAGGGGGAAAAAAGCCAGAAGAGGTCAAAATCCCAGCCACACTTGGGCACTGTTTTCTACACAACCTTCAGTAAAGCAGCCTTAACTATTTTCTTTTTTCTGTCCATTCTTTCTGGGTCACTCTGAAGGACAGTTTCCTCCTGACAGCCGGTGACCACAGTCCATCACAACATCCTTCCTGTGTTTTACCTTGACCTTGGCCTCCCTCTTCCTCTGAGGAGATGGCAAAGCGTGGCATCTCAATGATGGCTGAGCAGCAGCGTCTCCGGACAGTCAGTGGGGGGCTGGAGTCGCTCTCTGTGTGGGACGACTCTGAAACAGACAGACGCTTCCGCAGGCTGGGGAGGTGAAGTTGGAGAGGAGATGAGAAACATGTACATGTCTAAAACACAGCACACCAACACGCAACTACATACCAGACCACACTGAGACATCTTGTGCCATGGCTATGAAAAATACTAATTGGCTGGTAGGTGTCTGTATCACAGCTCAAGGGTCATTTAACTGCAGGTAACCATAGCAATATTAGCAATAGACATTTAAGGCTATGCTAGCAGTTAACTGACTGAAACCAACCTAACTTTGAGTTAAAACAGACTATAAGAGCACTTTAAAACATAAAGAAAGATTTTGTTTTCTCTATGATCCAATAAAGAACTGCAGGAATGTATACTTCCTCTTGTTCTCTAAGATTAAACATAATTCAAAGTAATAAAAAAGACACATTTTAAGGAACAAGTGCATTGTGGTTTTATGGAGGTGAAGGACTCACATCTCTGGAGATCCCACCAGCCAGGATCGATCTCTTGACTTGAGTCCGCTTAAGCTGTCGATGCGATCTCCTCCCTCCTCACTGAGGCTGCGTTTGGTGGGAGGAGGAGTCCTCTTCTCCTCGTGCAGAGACAGACGCTCCATACTGCTGTACACCTGGACATCAACATGGCATATGTGTTACAATATTTCATGTTTTAGTCATTCCTGGACCCAATGCCACCTTATTTAATTGTATTCTGTTCTGATAATAATAAGACCCTAATTTTAATAATAATGATGATGTTAATAATAATAATAATAATAATAATAATAATAATAATAATAATAATAACGTAATATTAAGACCCTATTCAATCTACTTTTTTTTAATAAATAAAAAAACTAAAAAAATAAAATAAAAAAAATAATTTATAAAATCCTGTAAAACTGTGGATTTTTTTTTTTAAAAAAAAGCATCTGGATTTGAACCTGCTTAAAAATACAAACAGAGATGGACAATCAGAGTATACATGTGCCAGAATTGTTTCACTCAGAATTTCAAGAACAGGTGAAAATTATCAATAATATCCTTTATTGAAAAGTTAATAATTTGGATCCACAGCAAAAACTAGAATCACTTGTTCTTCGTATTTTATTGAAATTTCTTCACAGTGTTTTATTGATGGATGATAATAAGACTAACATATTAAAAAATATTTATCTATTGAGCCATTTTTTTTCAATAGCACACATTTTGGGCCAGCAGTTTAGCAGCAGCTTGATTTATCTAAAGTTGGATCAGTGTCTGCAGTAGATAAATTCAATGTATGAGCTGTGGTACCTTGCTGAAGCGAGGTGAGCAGGAGGAGAACTGTCTAATCTCCACATGTTCATCATCATTGGTGTCGTCTTCTTCTTCTGAATCTACATGGTGGTACCGGTCAGAACGAGCTGAGAGAGACACACACAGTGATTAGATTGTGTGTTGACGACAGTATGATGTAAGATGTTTCAGAGTGGGAGAGGTTTGGATGAAGCTGTCAGACATACTGTCAAAGTAGCTGGTGTCGTCCTCAGACTCCAGCTGGGGAATGAACTCGGCCTTCTGCCTCAGCAGGCTGTTCCAGTCCAGCTCTGTGAAGAACGGGTGCTGCTTCACCTCAAAGGCACTTCCTGTGGAGATGAAGGAGAGATGGAGAGGGCAGAGAGAGAATAGAAGAGAGAGGAAACAAAGTGAGAAAGATGAGAACATACATTGTCAGCTACAGAATCAGATTTGACCAGCTTTGGGCCAAACACCTGGTCTGCACCTTCATTTTAAAACTCTGACTGTAAAAACAAAACGTCAGATTCAAAGAGTAACCCACAAGACAGCAGAGCCCAAAAACACAGAAAGTACAAACATGAAGAGAATAAGGTTCCTGGAGAAACTTTTCAGTAATATTTACTACAGTGTTTGTGTGTGTGTGTGTGTGTGTGTGTGTGTGTGTGTGTGTGTCTTACCTGTGCCCAGTCTCTCCAGAGGATTCTGTCTCAGCAGTTTGGAGATAAGGTCCTGCGCCTCCAGAGGCAGAGCTTCTTCCTCCTCCGGCCAGATGATCTCATCTGACACAAACACATAAGCACAGCGTAAACACATGAATCTGTGGTTCAAGGTTCAAGGTTCACTTTATTGTACCTCCAGGATAAATCTGTTTTGCAGCCAATGTTCACATAAAAAGAAAATACAAAAGACAACATCAACAACACATCAATACAATGACTTGCATGCACAGCTAGAGCAAGTAAATATTAGTGAGAAAACAAAAAAGAAATGATCCAGTGGATTGCTAGTTCATTTCCCCCTTCCTCCAGACCTTTCTGTCAAATATATATCAACACTTATGGCAACACAAAAAAATATCAGTGATTGGTAACATTGGTTACACCTATACTACACTTAAAGAAGTATTTCACAAGTTAGATAGTGTTTTCACAAAACTTGGCTGTCTCTGCAGTAGAAAGTAGGGATAATATTATCAACATTGCAATTTGGCCAAGTGCAAATTCCAGATCACAGGATAAATGTAAAATGTGTCACATTTAGGGTTGCAGTGATATATATCGGTTTCAAGGTATACCGTGATGTAAAAGTTAACGGTTATTATACTGTGCACATTTGCTTATATATGATATTGGAAAAAAAGCAACAGGATGAAGAATCTCCTCTTTATTTTAGTTATTTTCTAAGGGGAGGCTTTTTATACATACTTCCATTACAAAATGGTTTCAAGTTTCAATTATAGTAATAAAACATTAAACCAAAAAGAACCCCTCCATTTTCATTCCTTTAACGGTCATTCTGACTGATAATAATATAAATTCTGTAATACCGTGATACTGTGATATTTTATCGTACTGTGAAAATCTCATATCGCTGCAACCCTCGTCACAACATACCATTTTAAAATTGCAACTCACACTGCGATCAAAATATTTGTTAAAATAATCATAATATATGCAGACTTTTTCTTGCACATCGTGTAGCCCTAGTAAAAAGATGCAAATACTTCTGAAATTGGAGCTACATGATCAGAGAAAACACAGAAAAGGGGCTTTGGGAATTTTCTTTTGCTCAAGAAGTAGAAACTACAACTACCAAAATGCACTGCCCCACACCAGACCAAGAAACACTCTTGCTGGTAGGTGATATAATGCAGGCTTGGCTGCTTTGACACAGGAAACAATATGGCTGCAGCTAACAAACAATTTTCCATTACTGTTAAACAGTGAGCAAAATATGTTTCTGAAAACAGTCAGACAGGAGTAGACAAAAAGCCAAAAAGTTCATCCAAAATGATCCTGTAAGTATTTCTTCCATCACTGGCTACCAGTAGCTGCTATGACTGTTTCAGAAATCTCACATGCTTCTATCTTCTTGCCTATTGAACACACACCCATCTTCCCACCAATATGTTGTCTCTGTGTAAAATAATCTTGCTCCAGTTAGTCTCAGTAGCTTCTGTTTATTGTTCCTGCATCACACCATTTTATCAAACTTTAGTTCCATAGACTGCACCCCAGAGTTCTGCTCTGCACGATACACCTCACTGACAAACATCCTGCAGACAGATAAAAATACAATACACATTCAAGGCACAAGGAGGCCCTCAGTTCTTTATCACCATAGTGCATCAATATGGAGAGACAGACTCAGACAGTCATAAAAGAGACATGCAGGGATCAATACAGGTTTATGATCATTGACTTGCCCTTTCATCAAAGGGAATTCAAAGGAGAAAAGAACGCAGAGGAGAAATCACAATTGATTTTATTCCCTGTAAGTCAGGCCTGTGCTTCTCTGCTGTAGAGTAACAACTCTATCTGTCCATTTCTGATGATTTCATCAAGTCAGCCTGCAAGGCTGAACATAAAACATTCACAGTACAATACCGACATACTGTAACAACACCTTCACTGGAGATCAGAAGCTAAACAACATCCATTTTTCAGCATTTGATCCATATTATAAGAAAACATGTACTTTTGCCCATGATATTTTCTGCACACAGTAACTAAAAGTTCAGAAAACTGAATTGATTCAGCAGATTCCTTCTGGGTTTTGTTTTTATACTTCTGTCTACCATGTGTGTCTGTCATGAAAACAAATTATGTCCTAGCTTTATAATGGATGCTATTTCTATATGAATTGTTTCCTGTTTTAACCTAAACCTACTGTGTGTGAATGTATATGCACTTTTAAATACATTAGCAGTTATTGTAGGGGGCAGTTTGGGTTCATTCACCTTCTTTTAATCTTATGATTGTGTGCTTTAGATCAGAGGTTGACAACATTTTGGCTTTCGACCCCTAAAATTGAAGGTGACACATCTACACTCGCTAATAGTTCAAATGAGTCATTCTGAGTTCTCTCTTAATTTCATAAATGCTCGCATGTGTGGGCCCTGGTGTCTCATGTTGCGATTAGCTGTGGCTGTAAAGCAGCTGTCTACTGCTGTTGCTCTACAATGATGCTACTGAGTTAAATGTCTAAACTCATGTCAGTAACAACCATAACTACAAAAAAAAAGACCTGTGTTGTAGAAAAGGAGAAGTGTTGTTAAATTGCAGTTGTAATCAGTCAGCACTGCTACTCACCACTGATGACCTGACCAAATAGCTCCTCTGGTGTGTCTCCAAAGAAGGGAGCACAGCCCACCAGGAACTCATAGAGGATGACTCCCATCGCCCACCAGTCCACTGGCTTCCCGTAGCCCTGACGCAGAATCACCTCTGGGGCAATGTACTCAGGAGTGCCACACACCTGAAGAGGCATTAACATATAAAAATCAGCTTTGGACATTAAGGCAGCAAGGCAACAGAATTTGGGAAAATTCAACCGATTCCCATGATATAATTATATATTTACATGTCCATGATCTTACAATTTGTCTGCAAAAACCAAAAATATATTTCCCAATTTTACCATTCTTAGTAAAAAAAGTTACAAAGGTGCATTTAACTGTCTGACAAACTCACTGGCTGGCAGCTAAAAGACGAGCCTACAGACATCTCATGATTATCAGAAACTCCTTTACATAGATGCAATTCTGCAGTTTTGGAATACTGTCAAGCATCAACAAAACTCAAAAAATAGCCCAAAGTTTTCGAAAAGCTGTTGCAAATTTCATCATTTTAGGCTATAAAGAATTATGCTAAAAAGTAAAGACATGAGCAGGTACCTGTTTATCAAGGAACTCTCTGGTGTCTTTCTCTATGTGTCCTTCATACAGGTTTGTGGTCAAACTCATCAAACCGATCTTTGAGAGACCGAAGTCTGTCAGCTTGATGTGTCCCATGGAGGTGATGAGAAGACTGCAGGAGAGAATATGAAAGGTTTGAGCCCAAACAGTGCTTAACTTAAAAATTACCTTCAAGAAAAAGCAAAAATTATAACTCCTCTTAAGTGACATCGATCTGTAATAATACATAACACTAAAATACAGATCAGCACAGTTTTACTTTCTTACAGTAGGTGTGAAATCTTTCCAAATATTATTTTTCAAATCATATATTAAGAGAAATATGGCAACACATCCTAAAATTGAACTGATATGGTAAATATAAAATAATGGTGTGCATTTAGGTGTGTGTGTTTGTGTCTTACTTGTCAGGTTTGAGGTCTCTGTGTACGATGCCATAATTATGAAGATACTCTAATGCGAGGACGGTCTCTGCAAAGTACATACGAGCCATATCGACCGGCAAAGCTCCGATATTCTTCAGCAGCGTGGCACAATCTCCACCTACAGAGGACAGTCACCACATCAAACACAATACAACTACAACCAGTAACAACCAACTGTAACTGGGATGATAGTTATCTCACCCTCCACATACTCCATCACCATGCAGAGGTGTCTCCTGGTCTCAAAGGAACAGAACATGGAGACAACAAACGGGTTCTCGGCAAACGTCAGGATGTCTCGTTCCACGAAGGCCTGTTGGATCTGGTTCCTCAGGATCAGATTCTGCTTGTTGATCTTCTTCATGGCGAAACGCTGCCGGGTTTCCTTGTGACGCACCAGAAACACAGCGCTGCACAGGGAAAGGCAGAGGTTTTGGTTCTAATACTGACTTAAGCTATTTATTAGAATGCGTAATCTAACCCCTTTACTTCAGCTGTTGATTTGTTATTTTGTGATGCATCAATATTCATTAATATTAGAATATCAAAGGTGTAAATTTTTCTCACCCATAGGCACCATTACTGATGAGCTTGATGTTTTCAAAGTCTTCCTCGCGAGGTGTTTTGGTTTTAGTCGGTGGCGGAGCTGCTGGGACTGTGGTCCCTCGACCCTGAAACACATGGGTTATACATGAACCATGAGAAAGCATTTTATAATCAATAAGGGGATGCTTATTTAAGAATAAATAAATAACGTGACAAGCTATTAGAAATGAACTTTGAATGACTGAAAATTAAATCAATTAAAGAGAATGTTCACCTTTACATCATTCCCTTTCACAGGTAGTGTTTTAATAACTTAATGCTGACAGATGTTAACACCTATTAACCATGTACTCACATCCACTGATTCATCAGTCTCTGGGGTTTCTGGGTTCCCGCTGTCATAACTGCTCAGCTGGGCCATTTCTGCAGAGAGACACAAGTATCAGTTACCAAACTGAGACAGAAGAGATATTATCTAGAAAATCAAGTGACAAAGAAAATGTTTTTAACGTGGTCTCACTACACACAAAATACAGTAGAATAAAATGTTGATGCTAAGATGGCGTTACCCTCCAGGGGGTCCCTGGTGAGGCCCAGCTGGCTGATGATGTATCGGGGGATGTCGCACTTGATGCCCTGACCCTCCTTAGCATGGCCCTCTGCTGCCTCTAACAAATGGTAGAACTCCTCAGGATCAAACTCCTGCAGGGGAGGGAGACAGGAGGGAGGAAGGATGGATTAAGTGAAGGAAGAAAGAACAGGAGATAAATGTCATGAATTAAAGTTTTGCATCACGTTCTGGTGCTGGTTTTGAACACCAGCTTGATTCAATGCTGTTTAAAATTAAGTTTGTCACCAGACAGGCTGCACTATGTTAGTAGTTCATTCTCTACTCTGACTTTAACTTCTGTTCAAACTGGATTTGGTTTTGGTTTGGCCTATGTGCAAAGTCCTGTTTACAGATGGTCTTAAGCCTCATAATACTTGAGACATAAGAATTTAATTTTGATAGATTAATTGAGTGACAGGAGCCTCGTAAACATTTATCCCCTTAAGCTTCAAGATGTGAAAGGTGGCAAAGAGCATGAACATTCATTTTGTGATTAAATGTCTTTTTCTTTTATGTTTTCATGATGGTGGTAATCTTTTGTCACTGTTAAATTGCAAGCAGTACTTTTCATCTTAGGAATACACCCTATCACTGGTGATTTCCTTTTGTTATCACACTGAAATCCAACTGATATAAAATGTGGTCTGAAGATTTTTGTCAGTCTTGGTCTCGTCTTCATCTCAGGCCCTTTATAGATTCAGTCTTGGATATAAACTGATTGTCTGCCAAGACAACTACCACCACTCTGCATGTTGTGATGCATAAACACTGCATTGTCCAACAATAAAACCGCCCCCTTGATAGGAAAGTAAACTCTGGCCTCTACAACAACAGAAGAGTGAGGAGAGATGACTGAAAGGACAACAGTAGGAGAGGAGGATGGAGGTTTTGGTTCTTGCACACGCCATTTTAACTCCTGTGTCCTCTGACAAAGACATATAGACTACTACTGGAACACACACACACACACACACACACACAGTATACGTGTAGACACACACTCCCTGCCCTCTCCTCTATCTGTGTGCTTCCATTTGTAAAAACCCATCCTGTACGGTGTCACAGCTTCAGCTGCATGTGATTAGTCAAAACTACCAATGTGAGCACAGGGGCAGCCTTCCCTCCCCTCTTGTCCTCCCCCTCCTCCGCCCCTCTCCCACTCACCCTCCATTGCCCCTCCAATTATCCCTCTGTCTTCTACACTTGTTTTTTTTTCTCCACTTGGTCTTTATCTATTCTCCTCTCTTCACTTTCTCCCTCCTTGCCTCATTTCTGGGCTCACACAAGGTTGACCTGTTTGACCACAGCTGTGCACCATCTCAACCCACACTGATGGAGCTCTGGGTGGAGGATGGAGAAAGTGCCTCTGCAATTCAAAAGCCTGCCCTATCAGTTGAGGAGAGTTAATGTGTGTGTGTACATTAGGCTGATTCAAAATGCTCAGAGGAAGTCCATAAATGAATTGCTGTGGTTGAATCATTTCACATCGGGGAACAGGAAGCTCTAAATTGTTTGTTAACCATGCGTGGAGTCGAGCTGTACAGTATGAAAGAGCTACTCCAGTTAATACTGGTCATATATTTCATACAGAGTCCAATTTATACCACTGTGCAGTAGTGTGATTAAAATGCAAAAGCTATGCTGTATAACTGTAACCAACCAGGACGAGGCTGATTAAAACTGTTATGAAAACAGGACGAAATGTTTGATATACTAAATCATTATGACACATCATGATCAAAACATACTGTCACATGTATGTTTAATATGAGGCTTATTTGCATGTTTTTGTGCCTGTTATGTTCCTTTTGTATTTGCTTGTAACACTATGTATTTTTTTCAATATTTGGTCTGTTGCTTAAGTTACAATTACCGTATGTGCTTTATGTTGCTTTATCTATGGCTTAATGTTTGATTGCCTTTTGTTTTGATAATGGTGGAAAACATGTTTAGATCATTTACTTGAGTTAAAGTAGCACATCAAAGTACAGAAGTATTATCAAGAATAAAAGCATTTGGCAGAAAAATGGCTTGTGTGAGTGCTTCTATTACATTTTTATAATACATTATATCACTGTTTAATTATTCTTGGATTATTGCTGCTGATGCATTAATATGTGAGCAGCAGTTGGCCGAGGTGGAGCTTGTTTAAATCTACTTTATACTGTAGGTAGTTTAATCTATAATAATGCATCAAATTTTACAAGTTGATTAAATGCTCTGTGTAAGATCAACTCTAGCTGTAAGATAAATGGAGTGCAGTAAAAAGCAGTGTTTCCCTCTAAAATGATGCAGAGTAGATCTATAAAGTGGAAAATGGAGTGCAGTAAAAAGCAGTGTTTCCCTCTAAAATGATGCAGAGTAGATCTATAAAGTGGAAAATGGAAATACTTTATTAAAATAAAAATGCCCCCAAATACTCACTAAACGGGGAGGCTCCATTGGTTTGGCACTGCACTCCTTCAACATTATCTGACTGACAAGGGCTAGGTTTTAAATCACTGCAGGTGAACCAGAGATGTCATCTATCTTATTCCACACATTCTTCTTCATTGTCAATACCTGAAACCTACATTACCTATTTTCCAACTTAAGCAGTAATAGTTCGGCCTAGGTATGCACCACAGATTGTGAAATTCTGGGTCTATAGCAATGTTTAAAATAGCAATTTAGCTGAATGATGACACTGGTGTTGTTTTTTGTTCCAGCCTTCATTACACTACCTCTGAATGAGCACAAAGTCAATCTTACATTTATGAAACAACCTTTAAAAAAACATTCTCTCACATTAAAGACATTTTTTCATTTTAAATAATGGCTTCAAAGACTTTTTACTATATATATCATGATTCCCTCATCGATATCTATTTTACATTGCTGTAAAAACATCCACAAATTTCTCCTTCAACTGCTGTATCTACTCAAGTTTCTCACCAAAAACTACATTTTGCAAAATCACATTTAACCACTCATGAGAACATTATAAATAACTTCACCCAATAAACCAAAGAGAGCTTGCATGCATCATAAGGCAACTAAGTGCAATCTCCTTAAGTAGTTTGTTCTTGCCATTGACTGCTAACAGCTAACATTAACTAGCTCATCTTCTTTCGATTTCACCACCGATTTGTTCATCACAATGAAGCATTGTGAAACAACAGGGTGCATCCTCTGACGCATCAAATAGTGAGCTTACAGCGTCTTTTTGTCTCATGGCAGTCAACAAGGCCAATATCAGCTGATACCAATGTGTAGCTGATAAATGGGTATATCCTTAGTTTGGTCATTTATTATGATATGTTATGCCAGTAGTAACTAATGTAGCCAGGACCAATTATCCTGGAGCAGCTCCACCTCCAGATTTTTGTGCTTTCCAACAAATGACGCAGTCAGTCAGTCAGTCAGTCAGTCAGTGAATATGGGACATTCAGTGATGGTGTGGCTGTCAGTGTTTCTCTCACCAGGCACTCCAGTAGCCGTGCTGGCCGGGCGATGATGATCATCAGCTTTTTGACGAGTTGTGTAACAAAGGTAACCTCCACGCTCTCTGAGCGCTCATGAGCCTGGACACACAAAGAAAACAAAACAACGAGAGGATGGTTAAATTTCACAGTGTCTTCTGAAATGTCAGTATTCTTTAGAAAGAGATCTTCATTCAACACAAAAGTCCTACATTAGGTTCTGTCAAGTAGATGACTGATCCCTCATAGCATCTATTCATCATTTTAATATATCATTTTAAGATTTTCAATATTTTATCATCATGAAACCGTCTTTGACCTTGAAGCTGTGCAGAACGAACAGTTTGAGGACACACCAACGCTAGAGTCCTTCCCTCAGTGACACCTGAGAGGTAATCTAAATCAGAACGACCTCCGCCTCACCCCCTGATATCCACCGTGAAATGTCTGTCAGTGTGAAGACAGAGCAATTTACCAAGCAATCCACTGTAACTGACTGGAAATGCATCTGGAGCTAACACTGATCCCCGGAAAGAATGGGGTGGAAGTAAAGCGTGTGTATGTGTGTGCAAAGTGGAAGCTGTAACAATTACAAACCACCCACTGTAAAACATAGTTCATTCTCAGGGGAGTAATGTGAGTGTGCATGCAGTCTCATGTGTGTATGTATGTATGAATGCAGCATGTATGTATGTATCTTTAATGTATGTACTGTATGTATGTGTCAGACAAGCTAACAGAGAGGAGGCGGTGGTTCATGAACAAAGCATGGGTAGCTCATTGCTGTTTGTCTAACAGAGCTGTGCTGACAGACGCAGAGGGCTGGGGGGGCCCCCTGAATTATTTATATCAGTAATGAAACCTAAAGGGGAGGGAGGGTGTCTTCATACTGTATGTGCACGCTAAATATGCATTAGGGAGTGTATATGTGAGCGTGAAGGAGACTGAATGTGTGTGTGTGTGTGTGTGTGTGTGTGTGTGTGTGTGTGAGGTGACTGTACAGGCCAGTGATCGGTGAGTAATGGACAGCTGAGGGACGATCTCCCACTGTTCAGTGGCTAATTAACTAGTCAGAGTGTGTGTGTGTGTGTGTGTGTGTGTGTGTGTGTGGGGCAGACTGTATATTCGCTCTGCATGTCTAATGTGGCAGAGATTCCCTCAGTGGTACACAGTATAGAAAATTTGCTGAAACAGCTTGTATGCATGTGTGTACTGTATGATATCATCTGTAGATTTTAATTTATCACAAAGACATTGCATCTGTGTATGTAGAGTATTTTGAGGTTAAATGTTTTGACATAAATATTGATTAAAGACACAAGGAAGTATGTACTGTAAAAAGGGACACGTATTTATGTAAAGGGTTTTTTAAACTATTAAAAATAATTTACTGTTCATAACAACAGCTAAATTAAAACATGAATTACATCATTTAATATGTAATATGTTTCAGTTTAATCTGTTTTTGTTTTGTTACTTTTGAGGCCACTATTTATTTTATGAGTCTTTTTTTCTCAACTTCAACCTCAACTATTTTTGTTGAATTTGAGTCGTTTCTTGTAGTTTTAGCGGCACTAATTTGATTTCCCCAGAAAGTTTATATTTAAAAAAAAAAAAAGAAAGGAAAAAAAAAAGGCATTTTAAAAGCTTTTATTATTAGTATTATTTTCCTTTTGATGCCCTCACATCTATACTTTAAAAGTTAGTTATTTTATGGGTTTAATACACTGAAAGCAATCATTCAAATTTACAAGAAAGAATTAGCAGCAGTTGCACATGTGTGAAAGTTGAGGATTTCTACTGACTTCAAATTAAAAAACATTAATGTATTTCATGTCATTTTATTCCTAATGGGTCTGATAAAAAAACTCAAAAAACAAAACAAAACTTAAAGTAAATAATTTAATGTCTGAACAACAATTTGTTAGGAATGATCTTTTCATCAATGTTATGGTTGCACCCATGCATTTTATACTGAAAATGGCTCAACAGGAAGTGGTTACCTCATTGGTCAGTCAATATATACTCTGAATATTGATTTATGGTCAAAGGTCAAAATGTTTTACTCATTATGTCACTCTGTGTGAACTTGCATGACTTTTTAAGGCCACATTTTTTCATTTTTGAGTCTTTTTTTTCCCCCCCAACCCTGAGATATTTTTGCTAAATTTGAGTTGTTGTTTATATTTGTTATTGGTAATAATTTAATTTCCAAGCAGGTTTACTTACTGTTCAGTAACTCTGATTTAGTGATGTTTTCAATCATGAAAAAGTGAAAGTAGACAAAAAGGTGGAATTTTTTTAGCATTTAAATTATTTATTTTTTTTTAAAATTAATTAATTAATTTATTTTTTGACGTCCTAACATCTGGACAATAAAAGTGACTGTAATTTCATGGGTTTCATACACTGAAAGCAATAATTCAGATTTAAAAAAAAGTAGCAGCAATGTAGATGTTGAAATGTGTGAAAGTTGAGCATTTTTGCTAATTTTAAAACTAAAAACATGAATGTATTTCGTGTTGATTAGTAATAATTGTTAAAAAAGATAGTTAAACATTGAGAGGTTAAGAATGATCTTTTCATCATAGTTTATGGTTGCGTCCATGTATTTTATACTGAAAAATTTCAAACAGTAAGTGGTTATCTCAATATAAACTCTGAACACTGATCTATAGTCAAAGGTGAAAACATTTGTACTTGTAATGTCATACAAACATGCACAACATTCCAGGAGATCAAGCATCATGTGGCATCTTGTTCCCTTACAAATGAATGGAACAGAGGTGATGCCACCTATTGTATGTCGTGCCTATTAGGAGTGCTCATCACTTTCTCCAAGCAGGTGATGTTTCCACCTAAGTTCAGCTGAGAGCCAATTAAACCCAGATGTTATCAGCTGTATCTTAGCCCTGACGAAGAAGCTGCACGTTCAGAGTGACCGATCGACACTTGGTGACAGATCACCAGACCTGAGTTAGCACTCTGCCTTCCTCTCTGCCCTCAGGTGACCTACAGGGGTCTAACAGGGTCTCCCAGGGGTTCCAGCAGAAGATGGCCTGGATGCAGGTTGCCATAGTGACCGCCAGGCAGGTCACTAAGGCCCCTGTGACAGGGATGGATGAGGGAGAGGAATAGAAGAAGAGCAGCGAAGAAAAGAGAGACGAAGGAGAGGGGGTAAAGGTGGAGGAGAGATAAAAGAGGAGACCAAGAGCAGGAGGACGACAGAAGGAGGAGAGGTGAGTCGGCCTCCTGCGAGCTCTGTAATGGGGTCATGACACGAGGAGAAAAAGAATGGATGGATGAATAAAGTAATGGATAAGCAAGGAGGACAAAGCCAAAGGACGGAGACATGTGAAGACCAGAAGTGGACTGATGAAAACTAGATTTCATCAGAGGAGGGATGATTTTATACTCTGAAAACACACCTGATATTATTATACAAGTGAACTGATGAAGGATGAGGATGTATGAAACCTGTTAAATGAATATTTGACAACTGAAAAACGTAAAGACTTTCCTAAAGACAGCCTAAAAACAGGGTTTCAATTTACATTGTTCTTTGAAGAATTGCAGTTAAAGAGTCAGTTCACCAAAATCATTGACAGCGTTTGTGGGAAGACAAGCAGAACTTCTTGCCCTCTCCACAAAATAAATTCCATTCACTTTCACTGAAAGATATATTTTCTACACAGTTTATACCACAGTAGAGGTATCCATTTCTTTAAAACCTCTGATTGTTTCTGCAAGTCCCTTTATTGTTGTTTTAATATGTAATTAACTAGATCAGAAATAAAATTAACTCGATTAAAAAAAACCCAAAAAACTAAAACAAACAAAAATCACATTTGATTATTTTTTCAATAAAAGGTTGCTCAATGGATTTTTCAGAAAAAAAGTGTCAAGGTCAGATACACAATGATTTCAGTGAAATGACCCTTTAACCTAATCAACACCAGGATGTAAGACCAAGATCAGATCCAAGATCAGATAACTGTCCAGATAATGAAGGGCTGAGTTGGTAACTTAAATATCTGTTACCCAACTAAACTCACACAGCAAAACAGTGAAGGCATCATTTATCAGTCCTTAATGTCAGAAAGAGGAAAAATGACACTTAAATGTGTGCACTAGACCAGTAAAGTACTACTTTTAAATATATTTTAAAAAGCATGTTGTCCATTTACTACTTTATTCTTAACTAATTAAAAAGAATCCATCAGAAAACAAGACATCCCAGTGTCATACCAACTAGTAAAAATGGCCTGATGACTCATTAAAAAGACTGAATTATTAACGAGCTGTGGATAAAAAACACCCACAGCAGCTGACTGATTATAAGAAGATTGAATAATTAATGCACCTGTCATTGACCTCTGGATCACACTCAATTATTTTTTTGGAATTTTTTCAAAAGAGGTCACGCGTCTTACAAAACAAGCTATAAAAAACTGTTTTTGTTTTAAATAAATTAGAATTAAATACTAGTAATAATCAAAGATTAAGAATCAATGACTTTCAGTGTGTATCACTGATATGTTGTTATGAGTGTGACAGGAAGTTACAGCCCAGTAAAAAAGAAGTGAAAGGTGAACAAGCAGCTCCTGAGGCATCGAACAAAGCCACCTAAAGTAGAACTAAACCTGAGCTCAAAGTTAGAGTGAGTTGGTATACTCTGTTTATCCAACAGCACTGACATGTTTCAGTCTGCCCTTGGGTCTGACTGAAACTACAAGGCCCATCCTCTTTGTCTTCATCAGCGTAAACAAGTTTCGGCTACCTATAAAGCTTGACCGAATCAAACCGAAATTGACTCAACTGTGAAGTCTGCATCTGCCTCCTCCTCCTCCCAGCTGTGAGTGAACACCTTCCACTCGCTCCTCCTCAGCACATCCTCCAGCACCTCCTCCTCTTCCTCCAGCCTCCTCTGCCACGAGACGCGATACATGTTTCCACAAAAAAACCAAACCCACAAAATGAGGAATCTCCATGAACGACGCAGGTGGGGAGGCTGTTTTCACACCTCTGTCCACCTGCTCACGGCCTTCATCCTCTCCTCTCCTCTGTAGCTCTGCTCCACCTGCTGCCGCACTTGGCCACCCGCCAAAACAAAACAGAAAAAACAGCCTAACACCACCTAAATGATGATGTCATCATCCGGCCCGCATTGCAGCCCGCATCGGCGTCTTCTCCAGATGTGTTCAAGTCCAGTTCCTCACACCCTCCAAAAGCATTCGAACAGGCTTCACGCACGTACATCCACCTCCCTCCCTGTGAGCGTGCCGGCCAATCAGAAACAGAGGAATCCCCTTGAATCCCCGCCCATCCCAAAAACCCTCCGACTGCACCTCCTTCACCCCTCCTGTTCGTCTGGGAGAGTCATCTGTCAGCCCCCGGTGACTGCTGGAGTGTGAAATTAAAATCGGGGAGGATGTGTGTGTGCGTGCTCGCCTGCATATATGTGTGTGTGTCTATGATGGAGAGATAGTTTGTGTGTTGAGTCCCAGTAGAACAGAAGGTCAATAAGAGGCCGGTGGGAGCCATAATGTCACCCCCCAGGCACTGGAAAACTGAGCTAATAGAGATGTCACACCGCCGGCGCCGCCACACACATGTAAATATATTTCTGGGTTCACACGCATAGAAACACACGCATTTATACACCCAAACTGTCCGAAACGGTCCCATCTCGCCAAGCTGGGATTAGCGGATCGGAGGTGCTTGTCGGTAATAAACAAAGCAAGTGTGTGTGAAGGAATGTGTGAAGGAGTTTTATGTGTTTGCACCTGGGCCGCAGTCTTTGTGCCTTCGTATGACATCACATAGCACTGACGGTTGTACCCATGATGAGTGAACGACAGAGCGCGTCACGCCGTGAGTTGTTCTACGGTAAACCAAGCGTGACTGGGAGGCTGCCATAGTCATGATGTCTTCATCAAGGACAGGGTTTTAACACAGCGCATGTTTGGACTTTGGGGGGGGGGGGGGGGGGGGGGGGGGGTCTTTAAAATCCTTATAATGTTCCAAGGAGTTTGGTCCTTATTGCAGGATAACAAAGACAAAGGTCTGAGGCAGCCATGGTGTTGATTTAGTTTTGCTGTGTTTATAAGCAGATGTTTCAATTAAGAAAAAACTGATTTATTTTCAAAAGTAATTTTTCATATTTACTGAACTGTTGCCTACCAGTTAATTGGAATTCATGAATTAGAAGTTTACCAGTAACTGAACACATCAATTAGTGTAATCCTTTCCAGGAACCTGCCTATGAATTACCAGTTACATACTTAATTTCTAGGATATAATTAGTTTACTGAGGGAGCTGTAAAATTAAGCCTGAATTCTCTCCCTACTTGCAACTTAGCGCTCTATATTTGCTCTTAACCATTATGATTCTCGTGTGGCACTGTGATAATGATGCTTTATATAGCACCATCCAAAGTATAGATAGCATGGACACAACGCAATGCTCTGCCTATGACAGATGTGAATATTAGTCATGCAACTGATTCAGTAAGTGTCATAAGTGTCTGAAATGTCAATTTACTGCTCACTGTGGAGGAATCAATCTATTGTTCATTATACGTGGAACGGTTAATTAGAGAACAAGGGATTGATTTTTGGAAACAGCCAAACTGTTCTGAGAAAAGCACATTTTTTAGGACTGCATTCCAATTAGCTTTAATAGGCCCATGACATTGGCTTTCCAGAACACTTAAATGAAAACACAAATCAAGCTTTAATGTTAAGTTATACCTTTTCTTTGTATGATGAGTCAAAATGTGAACGGATGAAAAAGCCCCATAAAGAGACGGATATCATCTCGCCTTGCTGCAAGTACTTGGTGTGTATTGATAATGAATTTAATATTTTTTAATGTATGCATTATTTCAATTAATTCCACTTTCATTTTTTTGAGTTTGTCTTCAAATGTTGTTTTAATGCCTTTTATGCCTCATGTAAAGCAGTCTGAATGGCCTTGTTTTGATTGTGCTTCATAAATAAGCCTGCTTTGCTATGTAGCCATTTATAAATTAATAAAATACACATATATTAAAATAATCCTTGTCTATAATCAGATTTACTGCAGCCTTTCTTCAAATATACCATTTTGAGGGGAATGCTTTTTTCTTTCTTTTCTCCAAGACATTTTTTTTTTTTTTTAAACAGTTTTAATGTACTGTTTTTCAATTTTATGAGAGGATATTCTTGAAACTTTTTTGATGTGAAAATGCACTAGTTGTGCAAGTAAACTGAAATGTTACAGAGAGGTTAGAGTTTCTGCATCTTCTATAGTTACTGGTAGGAGATCCTTTTGCTTTCTAGAAGAATTCTTGACTTGAAAACACAAGTATGTGTTTGCAGGGCTGTGAATAAGCTGTTGCTGGACTTACATCTTGCAGCAGCTTCTCCAGGTTCTCCTGGAGCTCGTAGAAGTAGCGGGAGGTGATGAGGCCTTCTCTGCTTTTCTCCAGGCAGTCTCTGGACAGCTCTATCAGCTGATGGTAGATGAAGCTCAGGACCCCGTCAGCCAGCGGGCGCACCTTATCCGGGGCCGAGGAGCTGAGCAGCTCAGCCAGACGCTCCTCCATTTGAGCCGTCGCCTGAGGGGAGGGGAGCAGGGGGGAGGTGATTAGAGGGGGAGAGAAGGATGAGTCACAGAAGAGGTACGCGCATACTGGACATATGGAGAGATGTGCATGACTAAAATCTACTTGTGCACAGGACAGTGTCATATATAAGAGTAAATCCATTCTGACTAAATACTCAATAATTAAAAACACAGGAATGAAACATATGAAAACTCTATGCACCTTATTAATAGGGGTGTAAATCACCAGCTTCATCACGATACGATATTATGTCTATTTGTTTGGATGACGATACGATGTTTGCCGATATCACAAAGTCTGTCACGATACGATTTTGATTCGATTTGATTCAGGAGCCTGCGATCGATATGACGCGATATCATATGCCCATCTAACACAATCATTTACATCAACTCACAAAAACAACTACAATATGATTTGACCATTTTATTTCTGAGCTCTGTTTGTTGTTTGAGTGGAGGCGCGCTTGCCCAGAAATGGTGACACAGACATGCTATGTGAATTTCAAAATAAATGTGTATCTTTAAGATGACGATATGGATCGATGTTTTCATTTTGCATCGATATAATTGGATTGTTAATCAATGAATCGATGTGTCGATGTGGATTGATGTATCGTTACACCCCTACTTATTATGATACTTTATGCAAAGTTACACAGTTACATTACAAATATTTATAAAAACTAGACATGAAATTGAAATCTGAGACCTGAATTGCAACTCATCAGTTACGGAACATGACTGATTGCCTCCCAAAACAATGTCACATTTACATTTTTCAAGAAAATGAGAATGTTTTATGTTTATATGCTGTTACTATAAACTCAACACTTCCTGTGGCTCCTTCACAATAAAAGTCCTCCAGCAAAGAATAGTGATTGAGCCTTTTTATGTGTGAGTCTACACTATCTAGATCAAAATCAACCTTTCGTTGAGGGCAGATCTTTACACATGAAATGCCTAGAACAACTTGGTTTTAGTATCAAACTTTCAAAACACATAAAGTAAATAACACTTTTTTCACTGTGACTTGTTTCCATGTTATGTCGTCTATTACAGCCTATTTCCCTCCGTCTTCCTTCTCTGCTCCCCCCACAGTGACTTAATTCTGTACAGGAAGTGTGTGTCTGCAATACAAACCTTGGGAAACCTCTCTTTGTACACATGGTTCATCATCACGATCTCATGGTCGAAGGAGATAGGCGAGCGCCCGGGACTGAAATGAAACAAACAAACACAGGTGAGTGGAGATGCTCCGTGGTCATTTAAGTCTTAATACCTGGAATGTGTTGTTCTGAAATAAAGAAAAAAGCAGGAATGAATAGGGTGCCATCTTAGAACCACTCCCTACCTGGGGACCCCCACAGGATCCCAGAATATATTTTATATCTTTCCCATTAAAAAAAAAAAAAAAAAGAGAAGCAAAAAAGCAAGATGTTAACGGGTGTTAGCGGGTTTTTTGTGCAGTGGTAAAGGGGCTTGAGAAGGAAAAATCACTGCTGTGTCAAACTGCTCACAGATCATGTCCACATTGAAGCCATAACCTATGACAAAGGGTCACAAGTAGATATTGATTTGTTTGGATCAAGTCAAATACACAGTGTAGGCAACAACTGTCTATAAACATCTACTTCATGCCTGCTCTGTGTGCATACTGCAGTATTTAGCAGGAGTGAATAGCATTGTTAGCATTAGTGTTACTTTTGCTGCATACTGCAACTTTTCAAATTCTGGTCGCAGAAATCTGATGTTGATAATGCTATAAGTTAATTAAGTATGCATTTTTGGTTCATAGGTATCAATATATAACCTTACTTTGGGTTATTTTAAGGACTGAAACAGATCACAGCCCAGTTTGTGCTTCTCATAGGCACTAGTTTTCCTTAAAGATAAATCCTGGGTGATCTTTACTCTTCTTTCAGAGGGAGTGCTGCCTGTCCCTGAACCGTAGAAACACAACTGAGCAGACTGCATGTGACATGCAGGATTGTTTAGGTCACCAGAATGCAGGGGAATGAAGGCAGTATGGTGGTCACACACACTAACGGGACCTTGGGGTCTTCATCATATGTGTGTCTTCAGTAGTGTAAACCGAAGACCATGACAACCCCTGGACTCACATGGCTGCACACACAGAACGGCACAAAGGTAACGCCTCTGGAGACCAGTGACCACCTCAGACAGAGTTTGTGTGTGTGTGTGTGTGTGTGTGTGTGTGTGTGTGTGTGTGTGTGTGTGAGTGTCTGTGTGTGTGGGTAGCTGTCAGTAATAAACCAAGGATGTCGGCAACTCAGCCATCTCACTGCAGTGGGTGTCCGTCAGCTCTTAGGGGTTTTCATGACCTGACAGACTGACAGTGATGTCTCCTTCAGTCTATAACGGCTCCAACAGAATATCAATCCATCTGTCTTTCACACAGTGGACTTCTTCTCTGTATTTCCCTCCTCCTGGGACTCATCTCTTTTCTTATTCTATCATACACCACCCCCCACCTCCAACCTTTCTTTGCAATAAGACAAAATAGCGACAGCAGCAATATCCTTGACCTTTCTACGTCTCACTTTCAGGAGAATAGGGGATGGAGACAGGTGACAGGCAGTGGCTATGTGTGTGTTTGTGTGTGTCATGGGAGAGAAATTTCATTCCAGGCAATTTTAGGCTTTGTTAGCCTGCTGTATTATTCATCCTATTCATTTATGACTGTAAACATTTCCTTCTAGATATTGCAACTGCAATTTTAGTTTTTGGCACACATGAAAATAACCTCCATTTTACAGAATCATGTGGTCATTTTGCTCAAACATACTGAATTCATTTTACAAAATAGGCCAATCTTCCAATACCAGCTTGATTTTCAAAGAATTTTCTTAATATCAATTCTGTCTCATTTTGTCTTGTTTTACAAGATACAGTAATTTATATTTAGAAAATTAGTAAATCAAAGGAAACAGCACTGGGATAATCTCACCACAACTTGCCTGTTTTCTTCTTATTTTATGGAACCAATAAATCCTTCACTGTTTGTAACTTGTACAACCTTTACTTAAAAAATAACCTGATGTAGGAACAAAACATTGTCATTAAAGTTGAAAAAAATCGGCAGAGTATTTTTCATCTTAGACACCTGTCAGTAAGACTTTGTTCAATTCAATTCAATTCAATTTTATTTATAAAGCCCAATATCACAAATCACAATTTGCCTCACAGGGCTTTACAGCATACGACATCCCTCTGTCCTTAAGACCCTCACAGCGGATAAGGAAAAACTCCCCAAAAAAAAACCCTTTAACGGGGAAAAAAAAACCAATGATAAACCTGGAATCAAATGACTATGACAAAACACATTCTGCACACAAAAAATTCCACAATTACGACACAATATAAAACAATATTCATCAAAGTAAAGAATTAACAACATCAAATAAAATGAATTATACTTTAAAATAAAACAAAATATAAAAAATATAAGCAAAAGTATTTTTTATAAACATTCCTTGGGAGATAAGAGTGTTACAAACAGAGAGGGAGATAGGTGAGGTAAAGGTATGAATTTGGGGCTCCAGATGTCTTTGTTAGTATGAGTCATCGGTACACACACACACACACACACACACACACACACACACACTTACAAGCATGCGCGCACACACACGTGACCCGTGCGATGAGGTAATGCTTTAAGTCATCCATCGGCAGCTGAAGGTCCAATTACCAGCTTAATAGGAATGAGAGCAGCCTGAATGTGACATATGAGCTAAACCTCATGGAGGCTGTTTATCATTACGCCAACACACATGCTGACAAGTAACCACACACACACATATGAAATACCGCACATAACTGTGCTTCCATTTTTCTTTTGTTTTCACCTGCTTTGTTGTGATATTAATTTTTTCATTCTTTATTATTTACTGAAGGATTAAAGCACAGCTTTACCCAAATTACAAAAGAACCAAACAAGGCAAAGCATTTGTTCTTACATCTGGTGGTATCTACAGAAGCCCTGAGGGACAAGTTGAAAACATTTTTTAGTGGGCAATGTTGGACTACATCTTAAGTTTAGGCAAGCAAGGGAAAGAAGATTGATTGACTTTTTCTTTTTAATGGCAACATTCTGAAGCAGATTTCTCCATGCCATCTCCCAAGCAGTGCCCGGCCGCAAGTTTATGTGTAACGCAGCTTCCAGAGGCTCTTCCTCTTGCTTGCTTACTCGCTGGCCGAGTAGACTGCATACCTGCATACATCAGAACCTTAACCTTGCTGCTGGGCGGTTCTTACGTGTAATATCCAATAGAACCCTGCCTGCCTGCCACTGCACAGTCCCACTATATTTTACAGTGGACATTTGCAGTTAGTTAACTAAGGAGGTTAAACTTTTTGCTTATGTTGGATTTATCCGAACTTTCAATGCCATTTGTATGGTGCACTATGTGCTTCCTTTAGAACAGCTTTCTCACTCTCAAAACAGCCTAATTAAACCTAAAAGTTCATCTTCTATGCAGGAGACACTATCTCCTGTATCATCTCTTACATAAGAGATATTATCTCCTATAATAGGACATAAACATTGCCTGAATTTGCAGGTCAGCACTGTCTGATCTAGTCTTGCCAGTAGTTCTGGTTTAATTTTCCCAGGTTTTGAGATGTGCATTTCAGATATTTTGCCTCCACCCCAATACAGCAAATAATATTTTGTAATTAAAATATAGGTTGTGGTGATAATGGTATTGAAAATAACATTTAAAACATTAAAGCTTCACAAATGAATACTTCAAACAGATTTTCATATTGTGTTTCATGTATTCATGTATCCTAAGTGTAAGTCTGTGTGTGTTTCCGCTGTGGGGAAATGTAGTTCAAGTTGCTGAAGCGGTTTCTACTGATCACTCCCTGCCCACATATTTTACACTGAAAGCCTACAGAGGCTCAGAATACATAATCGCTCTCTTTCATGGTAATCTTTTAAAGTGAAAATAGGCAGGGAGTGTTGAATTGTCATTTACAGTAGCTAACCTGACACTGAGCACACGACCAGCATGGTAGAAGCGTTTGGAATCAATTAGTGAATGAAAACAGTACTTCTGTTAGAAAAGACACTCAGAGCATTACTCTGAAGGTAAGTGAGGAAGTTCTTGTATAATTTGGGTGAAGTGACCCTTCAAACAAAGCACAGTGCGCCCACACATAACCACACACTCAACTGTCACTGATGTATGTCAATCACTCAGAGCTCTAACACGCTCAACTTTCTAACTCTCCTTTGATGTTCGTGTTTTTCTCGAAAAAGAAAAATCTATCAAAAAGCTGGACAGCCAGCTCTGCTGCCAGGCTCAGTAATTAAAGGTTAGCCTTGACAGAGATGGATTCAGTGCCAGAGGCTGTTATGTACATTCTTTAATTTTCACAGAATATCTTCTTCTCCTCCCCTCAGTGTTATTCTTCTTGTGTGCTCATAGCGGTGAGCAGCCTGAGCCTTTATTAAAATAAAGCTCTCATTCAGAGCGAGCAGCAGTGGAGGTCGGAGTGAAATCCCTGGGATGAATAACACAAGAAAGCCAGACAAAGGCTAATTAGAACATGGCTATATTTCTACTGTAATGGGAAATAAAAATCGCCTCGCGGCAATCCTTGCGAAAAACGTCTTCGTCATTATTTTGAGAAACGACCTTGGAAACGAGGCTTTGGAGGAAGTTGAGGGAGAGTACTTTTGTTTTAGTGAGGGGCAACAAGTTCAAAAGTGTGAGAATGAAAGGAAATATTTATGAAATAGAATAGAAGATTAAACCTCAACCCAAGGGTGTTTTATAAAATTGGATAATTAAAACATTGTTGGAGAGGCGTCTTCTTTTTTTTTCTCCAGCTAAGTGGTGATGTCACATGTGACAAAAGGCACTCAAAATGCAAAAGAGCTTATTGGTAGAGAGGGTAATTGAAGTAAATCAGACGAGACAGAGAATCAGATGGTGACGGTGAGGCAAGTGGGAGAGAGCGGTGAGGAGGGGGGAGAGGCTGCGAGTGTGAGAGAGAGAAAAATAACATTGATGCTTCACAACTGAGGCGGGCGACTCGGGAAATGAGAGGCCTAATTGACCGTGACAGAGAGCCGGGCAGAACGGGGATGAGGTGTGTGTGTGTGTGTGTCTGTATGATGAGTGTTGAGACTATATGTGTTCACCACAGAAACCTCAACATCCCACAATGACATTCCTGATTCCACTGAAAACATCTTAGTAAAAATCTCCTCAAACGACAAAGTGTTGAGCAGGAGGAACATGCTTTGGTGAAATTTTTGTTCTGTAAATTCAAAAAAGTGGAGGGAGAACTAGACTTTAATCTAAAACAGACCTATTTTAGAGACAAGCTTTTGTCCTGCTATATATACCTGTATATCTTGTTTTATTTTGGAATGACATCTCTCTGTTTTGTGATTTGTTCCTGTCTCAGTTTCCTGTTGATATAAACTCAGCACTTCCTCCATATTTACAATTATCCAGCACAGTGTATATTTGCACAGAACAAAAGGGTCATATCATACTTACTGTACCACGCTGCTGTTCTGTGTTTTTCTTTGAAGTATCCTTTTCAGTCAGTAATGAATTCAAATCGCTTCTCCTTCGCTGTTTTGTTGACTGGCTTTAAGCTGCTGTCAATGAAACTCAACACGTCCTGCAAATATGTCACATTAAATGCCTACCAGGACATGGGTAAATTATGCACACTTAAGAAAATGGAAAACTTTGAATTTAAAATACCTGTACAGGAAGTGCTGAGATTCACTGACAGTAGCCTAACACTCAATGCAAATCCATCATACGTTCCATTCCATTTCCATTCCCTGGACACCGGAAACACATCGTTGTTCACAACTGTGTCTATCATGGGCTCCAGCTGACCACTTGTGTTCAGATTTTGTTACTGCCCCACACTCAATACGTCCAAACTTTTGCTTCTTTCTGTGTAGCATGCTTACAAGTCATGTAAGCGGTTGTGTCTCACTGTCAGCAGAATTCAATATGTCTCTTTACACAGGGCAAAACCATAGATGGTCACGCAACACTTGACATAAAATGGGTCAGGTACAGAGCTTTCAGTGCACTGTCACCAGAAACCCACAACATCCCACGCCTATAATGTAGTTTTTGGCAAGGACGCATCAGGACGTATTAGTGACAAAGATATGTGGTCAAATGCATCCCAGGACACCTCTACAAGTGGTTTAAGCGTTGGTCTAAACAGGCTCTTAGAGGCTTTCAGAGTTATCGGCATGATTGTAGATTGTGAAATAAAGGCTGTTAACTTGCAATCTCTGATTTCACGTAATTGTCTCTAATGCAGCAAACACAGCGCCTGTTCAAGGCGGAAATAAAGCAGCATTATGCAGCCTCACCGTTCTGTATAGAAGATACGATTGTGGAAAGGTGGACAGGGTGTCTTGCCTCTGAGCTGGGAACGGAGGTAGTAACAGCCCCGATACAAGGTCTGCCATAATGTAAAGCTGGAAAGACCTGACCAGGTGTTTAATTGGTGTGACGTTTTCATTTCGTATTATGTTGGCAACCCACCTTGGGGGATTTAAAAAGCAGGCATTAGCAGTTAGCGGCTAACTCAAAGAAGAAGAACAGTGGCAGTAAATGTCCGCAAACTGGGAAAAAAATTTGATTCCCTACGAGCAGAGAATTAGCCCGTTACACCTCTTTTATAATTGTGGTATGCCGGGATGCAGTGTGCAATCACACACTGGAGCAGACTGATGCTGCTATCATTTGGTTCTGTTTAACAATGCAAAGGAGGCATAAAGAAGAGACTTCGTAGCAGCCCTATAGCGCAATCTCTGTATACAAAGATCTTGAAGTTAATGTCAGTGCAGATTAAATATCTTGCATTGATTCAACATAACTTTTGTTTGTTTTGTAATTTACTGTGTGTGACTTGGCTGCTGTATCTCTGCAATTTCTCATTGGATTTAAGTTTTTACTGACTACACTTGTTAGCTACTGTTCGATATTTATGAGAATACACCAGTGATGAATTAAAGTTTTTACATTTTTGAACAAGAAAAAAATTGTGCTAGAATACATTAACTTAGTCTGACACCACATGTAAAAGGAGACAATTCTGTACATTAGTGCTGATATGTATGATAGAAGAGAATATGTGGTTTTGCAAACAGAAAGTCAATGGGGTGCAGCAATGGAAGCCTGTAACAGTGGGACATGAATGATGGATGGATGCTGTTTGCTCATTCTCAATGTATGGAAGAGTGGACAGCGGATGGATAGAAAAACAAAATAAGAGGTGATAGAAACACTGCAGGAACTAAAGAAGAGCAAAAACTGTGAGGGGAAGATTGAATATGAGAGTTAACAGAGAAACTGTTAAATGATAAAAAAAAGGGTGACTGCCATCCCTTACAGCATAAAATTAGCATATAATTGTGTTCTGCAGCTCATTTTCATTTGTTCACTCTCTCTCATACACAGACACACTTGTTCCTTCCCCTGGGTCCAATCATCATCATCATCTCTTCTCTCAGCCATGCACTTCATTTCTGTCTCTGCTGCATATTGTCTGTCTCATTCACCACAGCTTCTTCAGATCTCAGTACATTTTCCTCACACTAGTGTCATCTTCAGGGTATTTTATCAACTTGGAACTGGATCCAAAACTGAACTGGCTAATAAACTGAACACTAATCCTCAGTCTACCCCTCTGTTGGTTATTTATCTGCACTTGCAGACAGTCTGCAGACTGTTCTTTAAGAGCTTTTTAATGACACTCACTGCTGGTGGACTAATATGATGTCAGGCTTTCCAGTGAGGCTCCTCCACCCTGCACATGAGGGGGGTGACTGTTGGCTGGAGCCAAAACACTTTTCAAAGTCACCTCCATTTATATTAACTTGCTCAAAGTCTATTTAATTTCTGTAATTACAGCGCTTTGGTTTTGTCAGCTTTTATGATAATTCTGATAAAAGCTGAACACTTCATTACATCTTATTCTCCACAGTTTTATTCTATCTGCATGAAAAATTAATCTTTTACCTCTTCATGACTGATAATTGTATTTTATTTTATAGACAGAAAGATATATTAAGACACAAGGTGATGGTGGACTACCTGAGATGGCACTTCTGCACACACACACGCACGTGCGCGCACACACACACACACACACACACACTCACACAGGGAGAGAGCCTGACATCAATCAACAAACACAGTGGGACTCTAATCAGATACACGCCATGCAACTCAGTCTTGCCTTCTTTCATCTCAGAGGATGAAAGAATTCAATATCTCCCCGTAAAGAAACAGAGATAAAGATGGAGGTGCTGCTGAGACAAGAGATGGAGCTGGGGCAGAAAGCAAAAAGATGGAAGTAAAGAAAAGTTTAAGGAAGGATGACACACAGAGGCAGTGACAGGCTGAAAGTCAGTGAATGAAAGAGTGAAGTGGGTAAAATCTAGATGGAAGGAGAATCATGAAAAGATAAAAGACAAAAGAGATTTTGACTTGGAGATGGACTGAGTGACGGAAACACAGACAGAAAGACAGATCCACAGGTGGACAGGTGAGTGTCACTGATATAAACAGTTAGGACTTTCTCTTTGCTCCCACCTGTCACGGACATGTCAGAGGGATGAGTCTGACCTTTCTGGAGACTGACACACAAACATTAACAACCCAGGGCCGCAAGGTGTGCTAATGTTTGTTGGGGGGGGCTGGAGCCTATCCTAGCTGTTACTGGGCAAGAGGTAGGGTACAACCTGGACAGGTCGCCAGGCTATCGCAGCATTAACACATAGAGGCAGACAACCATTCACGCTCACATTCACGCCTACGGGCAATTTAGAGTCACCAATTAACCTGCATGTCTTTGGACTGTGGGAGGAAGCCGGAGTACCCGGAGAAAACCCATGGTGACACAGGGAGAACATGCAAACTCCACACAGAAGGGCTCCTACTGTGGTTAAAAATCAGAATAAGCTGATCACTCTGAGGTAAACAACCTTCAACTTTTGGAACACAGCAACATGCACCCCATGTCATGTGACAAGAACCAACCAATCACAGCTGACAGATACCATTCCCTTCTTCAATAATATCAGTCTGTGATAAATATGGAGAAGAAGTTGATCATTCTAGTGCAGGGCTACCCAGAGCTTTACATCTGTCCCACAGATCATACCTTAACGAAGATAATACTATTCAGTTTTAATCAAGCCTCTCAGGGGCATTAATTTAAGTATGTGTTTATTATTGTGGTTGTACAGCAGTTTGCAGTGGTGTTCAAATAGACTGGAGTATACTGAAAGGTATCTCTATTATTCATTTCTTTTTTTGCTCACCTCTTTTACAAACATGAAGGGGGGAAAGAGTATTAAAAACACATTTCAAAATAATGCAGTCCAGTACAACAACACCACTAGGTCAGAAAACCTCAGAGACCTAGGGGAGAATTAAATGTCTGAGTTGCAAGATTGTGCCTTAAAAACTAATAGGATTTTAAAATGACTGACTTGATTTGCCTCTCGAAGTTGAATTCATAACACTGTGCACACCAAAGTAATCGCTCTGATCTGGGAACACAGCAAGCCTTAACAATACTTATTAGACCCAGAGGAGACCAGCATCTGTAAGTGGGCTTTTGTACTTTGTATTCATTGTTACAATGGAGGAACTGAATATTTGTATTTTGTCGAAGCAGCAGTATTTACATTCAGTGTTATTCATATTGCAAATCAGCCAAGCAAGCTTTATGACACAGAATATAAATGTTCTAGCAGTTAGTGGCCACTAAAGGAAGAGCACCTTGATGTTCTTTTCAGGCTTTGCACAGTGTTTGTGTGGGTTATAAGTAAGTGTAAACTTATGACAGAGCTCCTACCTGAGGCTGCGGGAACGTGGTCTCATGGCGGGGGAGCGGCGTCCCTCCTCATCTGTGATGCTCTCGGAGCTGAAGTGTTTGGTAAGGAAGTGCAGCTCATCTGGGGTGGGCTGGAAGGGCAGCTGGTGCAGTTTCTCCTGAGATGAACAGGAGGACTGTGAGAGGAGGAGCACAGAGGGAGCACAGATTACAACCAGCACTGGAGCTACTGCGGGCGGGGGTTAGGCTGGAGCTAGGCTAAGATTTGGGCTAGTCCAGGCCAGGTAAGGAGAGGGAGTTAGTTATGGGAGAACACGGGCTGCAAATTACATTCAGCACTGGAGCTGCTGCAGGTGGGGTTTAGGCTGGAGCTAAGCTAAGACTCGGGCTAATGCAGGCCGGGTGAGGACAGGTAAATTAGGGAGATGGGATGCAGGTTATGTCCAGCACTGGAGCTACTGTGGGATCAGACTAAAGCTCGGTGAGTGTGGGTTTTCCTCCCAGTGCCTTACCCTGTCCCTGAGAATCAGAGCCTTTAGTATGGAGTGGCTCTCCAAAAAACACACAATTGTAAGGCCTTGTGGTCAAATAACTCAAAAGTGATGCCACCTGTGACTTTTATCATTGGAAGCCAGTGGAGTGACAGAAAACACACATACCACAAGGGTGGTCTTGTGTGTTTTGGATCAATTCTAATTAAATGTTACTTGTCTACAGAGATGGAGCTGTGGTCCTTCTTTAAACTTAGACGGTAAGTAAAGCTAACCACATCTGGCTATGGATGTAAAAATATCAGTCCAGAAGCCTGATAAATGTCAAATTACAAAGTGAACTTTAAATTCATTATGTTTCACCTGCAGCCACAGACAGAAGTCAATTTGCTGTGTTTTTGTAGAGCATACAGCTATTTGTCCACAGATCTTAAAACAGAATGCATCCTGTTTTCATATACAACTGCAGCTGCATGTCTGTTTGCTCACTTTCTTATCTTTTCACTGTTTGTCTGACTGGAGACTACAATCTGATCACTGATTTTAAGATCACACCACAAAGAGAGCAAAACATGATAAGTGTGCCTCCAAATGTGTCACCTAATGCGTGCTGATGTGACAAGATGATAAAGTCAGCATTACTCTCAGCCTGATTTTTCTGGCCTACAGGGCTTCTTTGTAACATGAAGGAGCAGCAGGGGGCCCCACGATGATATAATCACAATATTTAAGTCATGAAACAATATTACTAAGATGTAAAATGTTTTGCAATATGCAAAGGAAAACTTTGTCAACATCTGTTTCATTCAATAAGATAAAGGTTTCAATCTTTTCATCCCACTTTCATCCCATTCTCAAACAGCATTTAAAGCTGTATATTTTAAGGTAAACTCCAAAATAGTCCAAAATAAACAGCTATTAAAATGACTCCAAAAGACATTTAAATTTACCTACTTTTAACCTTGACGTCTAATCGTGTTTTAACCTGCAAATGACCAAGTTAATAATTATTCAGAACCGAGGGGAAGCCCTTTTTTATCTAACAAGTCATTTATTTTGCCCTCTGTACATACAGTGTCTGGATCTACATGTTAAAAGCTCTCACAGCCAGCTAACTCAGCTCACTGCCTTTGAAGCGTGCTGAGTCTCATTCCACAGGCGGCAGGCACAGAGAGACCGCACACCGGGGTATTAAGAAGCGAGATGAAGGGACAGCAGAAGGTAAAGGAGAAGGGGAAGGATTAGACCAGAGAGACTGTTGATAAGTCTCTGGGAGCGAAGGAAGGAAAAAGAGGAGAAACAGAAGTACACTTGAGGGCATCAGAGGGGAGGAAGAGTGGAAAGTGGGAGATGGGGGGACTATATCATAGCGGAGGGTGGTGTTGGTGGCTTGCTGCTTTGCAGTACAGTCAGAGAGAGCAGAACACACTTTTTTCTGTTTTTTTATCCATAGATTATTATATACAGTAATACATACATTTATATGCAGAGATGTAGAGTAAAGATATTTACCGAGACAGTGGAGCTGGGAGTGTTGGTGCCATAGCCAGAGGAGGGCAAAGAGGCCAGAGACCAGCGTCTGCCATCCGTCCTGAGGGAGAGACAGAGATGAAGACATCAGCATCCCTTTTTGTATATTTAAACCAATACTCCACAACAACCATATCAAGGAGCTGCGGCACCATTACATACAGCAAAATAAATTGTTTCAGTTACAAGAGGGAATATGCAAACACAAGGATAACATAGAGTCGAAAGTGCAGGCAAAAGCCATGAGAAGGATCCACTGAGACTCTGCAGACATAAGGTAAAGCATGATGGAGTCCAAACCTGACAGCCACTCTGTCTGCTCCTCACCTCCAGCTGGATTTTACACTTTTCAAACACTGTTAGGATTTGTTTCTTATAAGCCAGCTGTTTTTTTTATTGTCAAGAAATCTGTCTCTCAATATTTTCTATTATGTTCTATTGCTCTCAGCTCCAAGTCCATTGATCTCTATTAACGATGTACATCTTTAAAAGCACCTTACAAATATGTTGTTTCACTTTTAAAAAGACTCAGCAATTTCCTAAAACAGCCGTTCACTGTAGTTTTTATCAACAGCTGTAAATAGTGTATTTGTTGGGGACTATTTTCAGTGGCGGACTGATTCACATTTGGGGCTCTAGTGAGTTATTACGTGTTAACAGATACATTCATTGTATTTTTTGGCCTTTTCATGAGATTCATTGACAATAAGAAAAACATGGATTATCACCAGCCTTATCCTTCAAGGAACAACCATAATATAATGCCGGATTTCTCGCCATTTTGTGACCAACCTATCCTACTCTTTCTGGGCTCAAAGATTTAAGTGATCAGAGAGTTTCTGTTTTTGGGGAAGGCTCAGTAAGTGTTACGGCAGTTGGAGATGTTGTTCCTCCTTTATATCTAATTCATATACAATGTTAGGCTTAAGAAGAGGAGACCCTGCAGGGTACTTGTTGATGTCATTCAGAATGTGTGTGCTCAGCCATGCAGGACAGAGGGCAGGAAGGTGGCAGCAGAAGGAGGGAGGAAAAAGGGCTAAGGTCAAAACTGAGAGGTTACCTGTCAGCCCTGTGTCCATGACTGTGAGGGAGACAAGACAGTGGTTTTCTTTTTATAGCTGTATGCAGCTGTCACTGACACACACTCACACATTCTCCAAGCTTGGCCCAACCCCAGAGTTTATCATTTTAAACAGTTAAGAACAATTGACAAGCAGCAAAATTACTAATTTAGCTGAAATGATCAAAACCCACAATCCAACTTAATGCCTGCTAAAGACTTCAGTGGAAGGGGCTGATTATGTTCATAAAGGGAGAGTTCTGATTTTTTAAAGTGGGGTCGTTTGAGGTACGTATCCATAGTAAGTGTGTCACTTACAGTGGATGTTAGTCGGCACATCCCCAGTTTGGAGAAGCAGGCTGGAGTAACAGCAGGGAAGCTAATGAACTGCTGTGGATGGGGTCAGCAGCAAATGTTTTTTAGCCATCTAAAAAAAGCCCCAACTAAAAAAATCATTATCACTTTAAATGTACGCTATGTTGAGAGCATTTTCACCGCATTACCTTTCAATCAGACGGCCAGGTCCAATGGAAAAGCTGTTAACGGCCTCACTTACCCATCTCCTCGTCAAAGCTATGAGACTCCAATATCAAAAACAGTAAGGTCAATTTTCTGAACATGGGAGCTGCTGGTCTACCACTGCTTCGATCAGTTAGTTCGTTTGTGGTATTGTGTGACTTGAGTGAATCCAAATTAACCTTTTTAAATGACAAAGTTACACAGCAACACAAACTGACTGATTAAGGCAGCGGCAGACCAGGACTGTTTTTCTCAGTGGAATCTGGCTTTTAAGAGAGCAATATAACATCCTCATTTTCCTGCTGAAAATCACTGTTCAACATTAAGGTAAAGCAGTAAAAAACATTATAAATATAGCATGCACCTAAACTGATACTGAGTTTTTTAGGTGGGACTTTTTTTAGGTGGCTGGAATACGTTTTGTTGCTGGCCCCACTCCACAACAGTAGATGGCTTAGCTTTCATGTCGGACTCCTGCCTGCTTCTCCAACCTAGGGGCGTGCCAACTGACAGAGTACCCATACAACCCCACTTCAGAAAATCAGAACTATCCCTCTAACATATCTTATCATTATAATAATTTCATATATAATATAAGAATATAACTTTTAACATAACATGTATAATACATAACTATTATATTATCATAGATGACAGAGAAATCACACAAGTAAAGACAGAAAAAAAATGTACCTATTCATTTGTGGGGGGGGGAAAAAATCACTTTTTTTTCTAGTTTAACTAATTGCTGTCACATATTATTTCTTCCTGTTTCTTATTCTTTTTGGAATAATATGAAGCCCCCAAAATCAAGATTTTTTTTTCATCATTTGTAATAAATAAATAAAAATCAGGACTTGGGAACTGTGTGTAATATTATTGCAGGGGTCACTTTTATTCAATTCCAGCAGTTATTAGACACAGTTATTTTTCAGACATGTCCTTTATCATAAGGATCAAAAGCCAAACCAAAAATAATGCTTTTAAGGTGAGCAAAACCCTTACAATAACGTACTTATTGTTGTACTATTGACTCTTGCAGACTAATCAAACATTTTTCTTATCTCACTTTAAAAGTTTGACGTGAATTTGGTAACATAAGAGGAAAAAAACGACAAGGTTTTTGTACAACCAGCCATGGACCCTCAAATCAATGACCTGTACCAACCTCCACCACATGGTGTCACTGTTGTCACAGCGTGTGCAGCACTGGGGTCAGCAGTCGGACAGAGAGGGATTTTCAATTCAAATCAACACTAACGCTCTTTTTGGCTGCTGCACTGCTGCTCGACTGCCATACAGTGTTTGATGATGTTGTCATGGAAATAACCCGAGGGGTTCAGTACATCAGGAAAGGTGTGTTACCATGGAAACATCATCATCTTAATGAAGATTTAAGAGGCAAGCTTTACCAAACTTTTACACAACATCTTTTATCTTGGATTTAAAAAAAAAAAATCACACAAGTGCCTGAACATGCATGCATCCATCTGTCACAGGAACATGCATAACACACAGACACAGACAGACAGACACACGCACATACACACACACACACACAGACACACACACACACAGACAGACACACACACACACACACACACACACACACACACACACACACACACACTTACTCCCTCCTTCCCTCTCAGTAATTACTATCTGTGCTGAGAGCCCAGACAGATAAGGGGTTTATTAATCCTGGTTTGAGTGACAGTCTCCGAGTGATCATCTGCCTCCTCATCAGCTCACACACTATCATCAGCAGCAGCTCGGCTCTCAAGGCGCCGAGGCCACTGAGCTGTTTCACAGCCTTGAAAAGATATCGACATTAAAAGCTGAAGTACAGCTTATCCATTCTTCAATTTCTTCACTTCCTGTCTGATTATGGTGCTTAATTTTGACTGTATTTCCAACAAAAGACTATGAATTGTACTGTTAAACATGTTAAACAGTGCAGTAACCTGCTGCCTGTGGTGTAAAAACAATTGTAGGAATACTGAGCTCGAGAAAATTGAGAGAAAAGACTAAAAAGCTGCTGATTGTGCTCATTCCAATTTACCTGACCTACCCTACAAGGTGCACTGATTTTGTTCTCCAGGTATGACCCTCAAACACACCTGCGCATCTGAGTGTGTGTGTTTCTGTGCGTCTCACCTGCGTGCAGGAACAAAGGAGAAGTGTGCAGCTGTGTTCGGGGAGAAGTTGCGAGGGCTGTCCAGTGGACTGGTACCTGAGAAACAATAACAGAAGAGGAAAAGGAAAGAGAAGGAAGACAAGAAATAATATTAGGTAAGCACACTGACCAGGGACGGCGATGAAAAGTTGTCATCTCTGTATCTATTATATTATTATATAACAGATAAAAGCTAACAGCATGTGAACCAACAGTTGTTACAGGTTTGTTACAAGTATCAGACAATTTAATGTAATGCTTTTTAAGACCGTTTTTAAATATTTTCTTACCAAAATTGAGAGTGATTTTTGGACAAATCATCTTTTTCTTATTCATTCAAATTATCTTTTTCTTATAAGCGTTGCAGTAAGCAGTGGTCCTGTGCAGAGGTTGGTTTTATGTTGGAACATGTCTATTAGAGTGAGTAAAGTCAATCTAATTTGCTAACAGGTAAGTGCAAGTAGAAAGTAGAAAGACAATATTAGGCTCTGTGGTAAGGGTTAGTCTAAAGATTTGTAACATCAGAAATGTGGACTTTCACACAGAGGAGCCTGACTTATTTTGACACTGAATTGGTTTAAAGATGGATAAATGAAATTAGACAAGGTGCTTGAGGCAGTTAAGAACTCACAAATTCAAGTTTAAGACTATGTAAAGACTTTAAGGGCTTATATATTTCTAAAATGGAATTTAAGGCCTTTTAAGACGTCTCAAGGACCTGCAGGCACCCTCTTTTTTAGGGCTCAGGGATCAGTGTTTCCGGAAGTCAAAGTATTTTTTTATTTTCTTCATAGACATTGTGTTGTGGCAGATTGTTATGGACGTGAAACACTTGAATCATCCATAGGCCTACAAAAGCTTTTTAAAAAAATTCCTGGTTCTTTGATGAAAGGTAAAGGCACTAACCTGTGGACATATTGGACTGGTGCATTTCAGTATGAAAAATCCAATCATAAGGCTTAAAACTCTGTTTCACTGCTCCACTAACGGTGACCTGAAGCTTACAAAACTAAACTTTGTAGAAGCCTGATAAAACATTGAACAGTTAACTGTAAATCAGTTCACTGTTAGACTCTGGGGAAATAACCTAGGGAATAACTCAGACCCAAAACAATGGCTGTAACACATACTTATAGAATTGTTAAATTCTCTAGGGGAATTCCAGCCCATCCTCAATCCCAGAGGCACCCTTTGTGGTGGTATGATACGCTCCAGGCGCGTCAGCTTTAGAGGCAGCAGGCAACAACCCAACGTGTCAAATACTGGTGCTTTGTCAGTGGATGTCAGCGTCAGACACAGATAGACAGAGGTTTCCTTCGTGGTGGTATGATCTGCACCAGGGAGTGGCAGTTTGTAACGGCGCTGGCAACTACTGTAACATAAAGGGCAAGACAGTCCATATAGGGCAGGTGGGAGAGGAAGTGGATGGGTCCAACAAAGTCCAAACTTTCACCCAGGAGCCCACAAGAGCCCACTGTTCATTACCCATGTCAATTTTAAGCCAAACCCTGATGTTTTTTTCAAAACTAACCACATGTTTTTGATGCCTAAACTTAAGGAAATAAACCTAAAAACTACGTGTTTAACTTAATTTATTTGAATAAGACTGGATGCATGTAACAAGCAGAAACTGTCCATTTCCTTTTAAAACAAAAGTGTATTTTGAAAAGATGCCATGTATGTAACATAAAGTGTAAAATGCTTATAATAATAAAATTTGAGAAGTTGGAATGAGAACATGATAGAGATTAATGTGTTTCCATGTTGCAGAAAAGTTAGGAGGTTAACTATGTGAAGAAAAGTCTAAAATGAGATGGGATATGATGTTCCTATGGTGTTTACATGCTCAAACACCTAAACGGATATGTCAAAAACCTGATCATCAAAGGGCTATTCATATCCACGTAAGCACACGCAGTGGGAAGAAAACACCTCCAAAACCATCTTCAACTTCAGAATTTAAAGCTTATAAACAATTCAACTAAAAGAAGAAAACCTGACAAATGAGAAAATAATGGGCTTCTGTATGAAAGCAGATTGCAGGTGTAAAGTGTTCTGCTTGTTTCTATATCGTTCCTCCATTTCCATTTTCTTCTGGCCCTCAACAAGACAAGAGCTGAATGAGTCTACTTTGATTTGACAGTTTGGTTTAGTTGTTGTTATATTTCAGTTGTGGTTAAAACTTCTGTGTTGATTGAAAATGATGTTGGCAAGACAGACATGTGTGTTACTATTGACTGGTTAAAGCACAAAACTTCCCAGTTCCCTTACAAAGAGACAAACGTGAACTCAATGTCACACTGAATAATTTAATGAGAACAAAACAGAAATTCAGTCTGATGCTTTGGCTACACAAACATCTGTCTTTGTGTTCTGAAAGGACACATCCAAACACTGAACATAAAACATCTGCAGCACAGACTGAACAATCTGCTGTGAAACTGACACCCAGGAAACAGATGATCCTCTTTTGAATAAACCTGAGATTATTTAATAAGCAAACTGACACATCAATACATAAAGACACAGCCTGATGGATACCAATATTCAAGGCCAGGGAAACACAGCGCGTCTGAGTGTTGGTGTGTAACTAATAATTCAGATGAGAGACAGCAAAGGCGGAGGACGAGAGATTAAGTAGTCGGACATTTCCGCATCAATTATGCATTTTCCTCAGCAGCACGTCTGGACAGAGGAGAAACTCAAATATTAATGCGAGCATTTGCTTTCTGTCAGACGGGGATCTCTGTCTCGGTCTGTAGCTGCAGAACATGTATGCACATACTCAAGTGAACACGTGTGTTATCAGTCAAACAGAGGCTTGTTATTGTCCATCGCACTCGTCTGAAATGTCTCATACATGATCTTGTGTGCTGTGTGGATGTAGAAGTTACAATTTAACGACACAGAGGCCTCAGCGGGGCTGTTATCAGGCACAGTCACTACACTGTCACACTTCATGGCTCCAACTGTGTGTATGTGCATACATGTGTGTGTGGACCATTAGTCAATGTAAGACTCATTCACAGACAGACGAATCCATCTCTCTTTGTAAAGACCAATCACCCCCAGCAGTGAAGTGTAAACTGTGTGTTTGTGTGTGTGTGTTTATAGGGCGGTCGGGGTCTCTCAGATATATTTACATGATAATGTGTTGGTGCTCACAGGTGTGTGACATGAGCTCAATGTTAACAAGGCTTCCTTTGAAACCTTCACCCTGGTGAAAATAGTCTTTAGTTATTGCATCCTCAATTTTAAGACTGTAGCCTATAGTGCAGAACACATAATTTGACTTGTCCAAGATGTTACAACAGCTTTAAAACTGATTCGATTTAAACCAAAAATAAGATGCGCTTTTAGTTAGAGGACAAGATGGAAGATGAATCGGCCTTCTCCATACACGTGTCGGCTTGGCTTGACTTGGTAAACCCCAAAGCGTCACCCCAATGAAGGCCACCTGCTAGAAAGTGTGTCTCTAACTGATGATGTGCTCGTCAATATCATGCATAACCACGTTCCAATGAAAAGGCCTTAGAAGAGTATCCAATTGGGGAGGAAAGAGAAGGGAGAAGTTAGATTGATTGGATACTATATTGTGGCAGATGCGTCAGCACTCTGGCACACCTAGCCTGGCATGTATGTCAGCTGATAATTAAGAAGATACCACAAAGAAATGTACAGATTTACATACTATAGTATATGCCATAAGGGATCACAGACAAATGATGGAATGGAATGATGCTTGCCTCGTTACAACTCGTCTACGAGCAGTTGTGTTCTTTGTGCACCTCCAAATCTACATGACATAAGTTCTCAGTAGCTCCTTTTACACTGACTGTTCAGGGTGGGAATATACTACTGCCATGCCACCTTGCAGTTTTGTATAAAAGGTAGGATCATGAAATGAGGGGACAGAATTGCCTTCCCCTTTAAGCCAGCAGTAGAGGTAGTAACAGCACTGAAATGGCGTCCGTATAAAGGGGACAGCTGACAGGGTGGGGATTAAATTCAGCGACCTAAGATACACTGCAATTTTCTAGTACCTGTTGACATGTTATGTTACGGACAAGCTGATAAACTAGTGGTTTAGGGTTGATATATTTGCTGTTACTCGTTTTGGACAGAGAATGCAGAGCTATCTGCTCTGAGACGACAGGCTGTTACCCATCTGTTCATTTGTACGGTGCTCAGGTGTCTTTTTTTGTCCCACTGACCTACAAGCAGTAACTGGTCACACCTGTCATACAGAACCTCCATCCAAGTCACAGAGGTCACTCATTCCAGCACTGAGCTGATGCTAGAAACACCACTATGTCTCATTTGTACCACACAGCACATTTATGTGATGTCCACAGGGGTCCAGCTTAACTTTCAGCATATATTGACATTCTCTGACTGGTAACACAGAAAAATCAAATCACTTTTAAAATCTATCTGAATAATACTTTCCACTGCATGTCAAGAAAAGAAATCACTGCATGGATCATATTTTGAAACTGAAATGAAATGCAAATTGGAGCTGAGAGTACCTGGTAGGCGGTCTCGTCACTACAGGTATAGAAGCTGCTTTGCTATCACATAAAAATGTGTTTTAGAAGGTTCATGTGCTGCAAACTGCAGTGACAGTGACCTACTTTAGCAAAGACCAAGAAATATAGCAGTGTTTGAGATACATGCAAATGTATTATCTGCTTTGTGCCTCTTCAGTCTCGCTGCCTCTCCAGGGAGAGTGTGGTTGGGATAACAAAATACAGCTATAATTGGGGAGGGGGCGAAAAGAAAGGAGAAAAAAAAAGTATTTCCTTAGGAGTGTGTGACAAGAATAAGAGAAAAGCTTGAATCCCTGCTGTCTTTCTTTCTGTCCTTCATTACAATTACAAAGACGAGCGCAGGATTGTTTGACGGAATTCATCGGAAGTCAGAGCACACACAGCTGCCAATCATCAGCTGGCCTTTACCAAATAACAGTTCTCTGTCAGCCAGGAGGGAAGAGGAAAGTTCAGGGTGGGTGGAGAGGAAGAAAAGGAGAAGATGTAGATGTCGAAAAAGAGAGAATG